ATAAGTAGGGAAAGCACGTTTCTAACCCGCTAGCAGGTCTTGGAACGACGTGCTCGCATATGTGATTTGTGGGCAATGAGCGGAAATTGTGTGAATTCGTGGTGAGATCGGTGATGATGATGAGGTCCAAATATGCATGAGCATGCTGTTTATCCGTATGTAGTGGGCTGTTGGTTTGCTATGGGGGCTAATCTCTGAATCGATTGGTTCCTGTTCTCTGAATTGATTGGTTCAATAAAACATCCCCAATGTGTGGTGATTTTGTGAGAAAGGGTGGTATTCAATCTCACGTGTATTCCCGTTGGTGAAATTATATAAAGCGCAGCATTGGAGCGCGCCGGAGAAAATGATCATCATCATTGCTACATTGCCAATCATCTCATGTTCAAAAGGCACCCTCAAACACCCCTGCAATGAGGGCATAGCCATCTCCACAGGATCTGAATACCTGCAATCACATATAAAATAAAAATATTAAGTAAAAACCGTGTTTTTACGTCCACTCCGTGTTTTTACGTCCACTCCGTGTTTTTACTACTCCGTGTTTTAAAGTTTTGGACACATCACTCCGGGACTCCGTACTCCGGGACATTCGATCAAAATATTTGTAGAAGTAAGCAAGATATAAAAAAAACGGTAAAAGAGAATTAAATATAGTTTTCAAAGCTCTTTCAAACAAGAAAATAAACAAATGTATTGCCATTTCCCTTTAAATGGTAAAAAATTTATACCTTTTGCATATACGTTCAATCACTTCATTGTCTTTATGCTCTGCTGACCTGATAAAAAAATTATATGTGTAACTGATTTAGTACAAACACAAAAAGATATATCCATATTTCTTTCCTTTTTTATCTGTGCATGGGAAAACTAATACCATGTGTATTGGTTATATGCAGATTTTTTGCTCCATCAACCAGGGGCTTCATCAGTGCAATACATTATGATGAATAGATAATATAAAAAGATTTCCTCACATACAAATGGCTATCAAATTGAGTTGTGACTATCCAATATAACTGGCTACTGTATTACTTTATTTTTTAAACTAATTTGAAGAAAAATGAGATATACCTTAACTCCCTCATCCTATCTCCAAGTAACCCAGCTACAAACTGGATCACCAAATGCCACCTGGGTTTATCAATGTGTTTAGATAAAAATGATTCAACATTTCTAATATCATCAACCACATATAGTGCAGTCAGAAACTCTTCAATTGTAAGATGAAGGAAAGAATAGATGTACTGATTTTCATCTTCTAACTGATTAAATACACCGCAATCTGCTAAGTCATCCATAAATTCATCAGTGCCATCAAACTGAAAAACTAGCTGGTTGTCTTCCATGCCTTGCTTTGCAATTTCTTTCAGTTTGTCTAAATTGTTTTGAAGCTGCTCTGGAAGTTTTGAAGTCAGATAATCCTTTCGGACTGGTTTATTCACATATTTTGAATTGTGTTTGAACAGCAAAATCCTTATAGCTCTTTTGTAAAGTTCAGTCATTGTTTTAGGAATCTTGCTGTAGCTTTTATCCTTCTCATGTTCACCAAAATCAATGCTCTCGTATAATGTCAAGCACACTATATAGGAATTGACTGGTATGTAACAGAAACTTAAAAGTTCTGGCGAACTCTTGATTACTTGCCACATCTCTGAACTTCTTGTGTCATCTTTGCAAAACATCTTAACATACTTTTTTATTTGTTCCTCATTAAAACCCAGTATCTCCACTTTCCGATCAAACTTTAGACACTGATAAATATCTTCTGCTGTAGGTCGAGATGTGATTAACACAGTGGCTCCAGGCAATAGTTTGCCTTCCACCAGCTGTTTAAGGATAAGAAACATATGACACATTTTGTCTGGGCTGTTTATGATCTTCTCATCAGTTAAACACTTTTTGTCAACTTTAAGTTCATCTAAGCCATCAAAAACAAGAATCACATTACTTGAGTTCCTGCTAATATATTCGTAGATGGTCATGTTGCAATGAGCCGGCATAGCAGAACCATGAACTTCACTTAATATTTTTTTAAGACTTGTTTCTCCCATGTTAAAATCACGTAATTGAATCAATAGTACAATTCTTCCACGCCAGAATCTTTCTAGGCGTTTTTTATACTCCTGAAAAATTTTTCTTGTCAGTAGAGTTTTTCCAATTCCAGGTCTGCCCACTATAAGAACAGTTCTAGGTTGTTTCTTACTAGTTTTTGCTGCTTGAAATAATTCTGCTGTACTCTTAAACACTTTTGCATTAGGGAGTTTTTCTAAACGAGCTTCATAAATCTCATGTCTATCTTCATATCTTCTCCTTGAATTATAGGTTGTTTCCCTTCCATCCTGAATCATAACATTGATATAGATCTCTTCCAGTTCTCGATCCGACAAATGTTTTCCTCTAAAGATCGCAGTCAGGTCAAATGAATTTTTAGATTGGATTGATGGAAATCTTTCGTTCATTTCTAGGAATGTTTCCGTTCGTTTTCGTAAAAGGTATAAGCTAATGAACTCCTGATCAGTATGGAAAGTTGGTCTCTTCAATGCCGACCACAACAGATAAACTATCTCAACGAGCGTCACTGCATCGACGAGGAAATTTATCGTGATAAAGCCGACAACAACTTGTTGTTTCTTCCCAGCCATTGAATAAGTGCAGTCCACAAATGAAGAATTCGTAGTTGACCGTGTGACGTTCTCGTGGGAAGTACTAGTTGTTGTTTTCATATTGGGCAAAGGACATTCAAAATGGGTCGGAAAATTGGACGAGGTTAAGATAAATGCAGAGAATACTGTCAGTGGTATTATACGACAAACGATCAAATGGATTATGTAAGCCATAAATACAAAATAACGATTACTACCTCCATAGACTTCCGGTGCGGCTGGCGATGCTTCAGACGGTAGTGGCCGCCTTTCTTCTACGCCCTCGTTCGTCGTTGTGTTTGGATTATTTGCGAAGATGTCGACTCTATGTTTCACGAGGTAACCATACACAACGCTCAACACAACGACAAGTCCAAAACTTATCACAATCTGGACATTGAGAGATAACGAAGGGAGGAATTCTTGGGCATATTGAAGACGACATTGTGTTTCAATGTACTTCCCCTTGTATAAAGAGCTCGTGAGGTCACATTCCAGACTTGATTTCGACTCGTAATCACTCGCGATTCCAATTAGAACAACACCAATTGCTACAAACACACCAAGAACTACTGAACTGTGGGTATTGTAACAATTACGAGGAATCAGTTTTAAGCAAACCTCCATGTCTGTAATTTACTAATTTTGCCAGAAGATTAGATTTGATCATATGACGACCACCCTGCCAGTTATTTTGTCACAACCAGTGAACTCAAATAAAACTGGAACGCTCACTCTATGACTTTCCCTCATTGATGAGTGAAGCCAAGATGGCGGATCATGAAGCCTTTCTTGTAGGTATGATCCAGGCCTCTGGCGCGGAAACTTCAAAGGAAAAATCAGAATTCCCGACAAAATTTCCGCGTGGAGGCCTGGATCATACCTACAAGAAAGGCTTCATGATCCGCCATCTTGGCTTCAAACTTCCGGCAGAGTGAGCGTTCCAGTTTTATTTCAGTTCACTGGTCACAACACCCTTTTTAATTACACCCTCCAGTTCTTACAGTTCTCAATCTCGTAGATCACGAGATTGTCATGTGATTATGAACTTTAAAGGTCTGTTCACATGTGGTTCACACGATCCAATACACGATCCAATTTTATTGGATCCAATTCACTTCTGATGGATGTTTTATAGTCTGTTGTCTTGCTATGTATATCAGCAGCAAACTGAAACCAATGCAGTGCTGCTTTATCAATAACTGACTATAATTCATACGTCAGAAATGAATTGAATCCAACAAAATTGGATCGTGTGAACAGACCTTAAGAATGACGTTTACGGCACACGGCAAACAGCAAACTGCAAATTTCAAATCATATTTCGAGGCCAACTGTTAGCTGTTCGAAGTTTGGGCAAATTGTCTATGAAAACTGAAGCATGAATTAGCTACTTGGTGGGCAAAAACTTGTGAAGTTTGCCCCCAAAAGCGATTTGAAATTTGCCGTTTGCTGTTAGCCGTGTGTCGTAAACGTACGAGGTTGGGCCGGGCATTGTGAGCTGTGGGTTGAGCCCGGGTGGCACGATCTCCTCGTTAACCATGACCAGCATGCAACAGGTGCTGTGGAGCCACAGATGTGTGGAGTGCATGGTTTGAGTTTGACAGACTAGTTCCCAGAGGTCATCCACTGCGCCGCTATTCATAGTTTCCTTTCGATTATTTTTCATTTCGCAAAAAGATAGTGCCTGTGGTTTGGACTAAATATTGTACTGTTCGAAACAATAGTTACAGAATGAATTATAATTTCGCTAAACAGCGCAGTGTCGCCCAGTGTTCATGAGAAGAAAGACTGAAGGCACTTGGTAAACTTTCTTTTAACTAAAATGGTTTTGCATGAGAACCTTGAATCAACTGTATGATTCAGTCTCTGGGTTCAATCCCAGAATACTATTTACCAACGAGATAACCAAATTACTACTCCATTGAACTGAAATAGTTTTTAAGGCCTTAACCAGCCAGTTTTCACTTCAACCGATGAGAAATTGACAAGACATGTTAAATTCAATGTTTCATTTACAGATACTCAGTATAAGTTAAAACTAGCTTAAACTATTTGGTTATTTTGACAGACAAGGGCCCTGATTTCTTGCGTTTGGGGCCCAGTTTCAGTTGTGCTTTTCCAAAACGTCATGGCACGTGATACATCGAATCAGAATTGATCAGTTAACCAAGGCTTTACCAGTTATTGTTTTTAATCAGTCCTAACTACAGCTGTTTGTAGTATTCATGACAGCTGCCGTCATTTTGTTTACACAGAAAGAAAAGAAAAAATTTGGAGGGGGTGGGGAGGGTATCTTTTGTAGCATCTCAGTTATGTGTCACTTTTGAATGTTCTGGAATGATTATTGCTGGAGAGTCATCAGTCATCTTTACCAACCCAATCATATGTGGATCTTTTCAACAATGTTTGCGGTAATATGTGCACTCTGATTAGTACACGTCCACTGACGGGGTTGTGCTGATTGATTGTACCACGCATGCGTTATTTAGGTTTAGCTTTCACTGTCGGTTTCGGGCTTGTGACAGGTTTAGAACTTGTTTTAGTGCTCGGTGCCTTCGGTTGAATATCGTCCTAAACAGAAATTGACTTTGAAATTGACTCAGCCGGAAATTGCTGGTGTGGAAATTGCTTACCGTCATTTTTTTACAGACTGTACGCTATATGCCAATGAAGGTGTCATAGACAAGTAGACTTACATCCTTACTACACCCTTAAAATGCCCCCACTTCATCTCCGGTTCACATTCGTTGATTCAGTTCCTTAAAAGGGGCCTGGCAGTGTGCTAATGACAAATTTCTTTAGAAATCGTTTTTCACAAACGTGAGCCGACAATCCAATACGGCTCCCATAATAAGTAAATATATATATTGTGTACGAACCACCCTTAGGGAAGCAGGGTGCATATCATTATAAATAGAGTTCATGGTTCAATTACCCTTGAACGATATATGCATGCACTGTGCTGTACAATAAAGGAGAATATTCCTGGTAATCAAATTACTACCTACCGGCACAGGTATTCCATGCAATGGCTCCAAATACGTTTCGGGATCATCTGGTTCTGGGCTGTCATTCCTCGAACGCTGCAAAAATCTCTTGGACGCCCTAAGCTCATCTATTGGTTGTAAATATGTTTCATCTCCTCTATCGATCGGAGTGACCGACTCGGGTTGTGTTGGGGCACTCTCTATTGGACTAAGATATCGTTCATAAACGACACGCTGGTTATCCCTGGAGATATGACTTTGGTTATCAGCTACAATCTCCGGACTAGATCTGGCAGAATCCGAGTTTTGCTGATTTTGTCCCGCACGAATGTCCGTATAACGACTGCCACTCAAGTTACTAACTGCATACAACGGACCATCTGTTGTAAAATTAAAAGGGTTGTTTTTGAAGGCATTCAAGAGAGAAACGTTACATGCATGCATCCATAAGCCTCACACCTTCTGACGATCAGTTGTTGAACCTTATAACGTTTACTCCTTCTTTGGATTTCAAATAATAGCTCAGCTCATATAAGGTATAAAGACTTGAAATGATATGTCTTCTAATGGCTTGACCTTGCATGCATTCAAACATGATATGTAATTGATAAAAGTATGGATATCAACTCTATGGATATCATAGAGTATTCTCATAATGATTTTGTCGGTTCATAGAGGCAAATAATATTCCTCGCTTATATACCTGACACAAACACTCTTTTGATTGAATTACGTAGATTTGTTCTGCCTCTCTTCCGTTCTTTAACGGGGTTAGCACCTTTTCTCACGTCCGTCACCGTGGCGGTTCTATTCAGTATCAATATAAACAACAGTATAAAATATTAAACACCTTATCTTAAGATGATTTACCAAAGTCAGTCAAGTCATAACTATGCCATACAAGGATTGAATCGGATCGTGCATAAGCTATTTCGTCTGGGCATCAGATCATCTGATCATCATCATCACAAGACGTAGCGGATACGAAATGTATCAAACTAGTTTCGGGAATTTCTTTATATTGCACGGCAAGTGTACGGTACTTGCTTATGTCCTAATCGTATACATGCATATTCAGGAAAACTGTTGTTCGCTGAAGATAATACAGCTTACCGCGGCTAAGTGCTAGGCCTGCTTAGTCTACATGCCACTCCCTGCACTTCCGACAAGAGACATCAGTCATGCAAACACTTGGAAGTTTGAATATTTCAGTAAATAAATCACAAAATTAACTTTTAAATCAACCGATCTACAGTATTCATTTTCCTTCCTGCATTTCGAAGCAATTCCATGCAATCTGATTTAATCAACTGACTATACGTATAAAAACCCACGCTGTTATGATGCATAGATGATGTTATTGACTGTGATTTAATGTTGAAGTAGAGGGGACTGCCCGGTCAAAAAACGTAATTGCAAATCAATGACTTGGAAATTTATTGGTTTGTGTTAATGGCATGCAAATGGCCGCGTTCATGCACTTTAGAATAGCCGCGATATCACAAAGATAGAACGATTCCTATATCCATGAAACAGACCACTGTTGCGGTTTTTGATTAAAAAAAAAATATATCTTGTATTTCCAAACCTTCGTCGTCTTTTACTTCTCCAACAAACAATAACCATACACAGCGAAACAATCAGCAACAATGCCAAAACGACGCACGCTACGAACACCCAAGTGAACAACATTTCAACCTTCCCAGATGAAGAGTTTGATGAATTGTCTGTGCCTCTACTCATCACCGTCGACGACGTAATGATAACATTGTTTGTACTGTTTATGGAGTTTTGCAAAAGTGTTTTGTTTGTTGTATTGCCGAAATCGTGGCCTCCAAGTATTGTGCGTATTGGAACGGTGAAGGATGGTTTGACAGTGCTATTATCCTGTTGAAATAAAGTGAAAAGAAATATGTAGCAGCTATCTAACGAATATCTGCAAAACTGTGAATTTCAATATTCACGGATGTATTATCTTCACTAGTACTCAGTATGCGGGATGATATGCTGTGGTTAAATGGCCGGGAAAAAGGTCAGTTTTCGTTTGAATTTCTAAGATAAAATTAGCTTTTAAGAACATCGACAGACATTTCCACGCCAGGTAATAATAATACATTCGTCTGAAAATATGAAAGTTCTCGTATCATATTATATGATGTGATTTGAGCCGTCGCCAGAAACCCTCCACAAAGAAAGAGTATGGAAAGCTAGGTAGCAAAGATTATACTAACTGTCTAACAGATAAACACTTAACACCACACCTAGTCCTAGTGCTTTCGTGCCACTTGCAGGCACTTAATTACTGATGGCAAGGTATAAATTAAAACCCATATTTGGACGTCACTCAATACATAAAATCGAAACAACACCTTTTTTAATTGGTAAGCCGAAATATTTTATTTCTTGGGCGCCTAAAATATATTTTATTCCATACACTCGAGGTTAACATGGTATTGTAGTTTAATTTCATTCGTTGTTCTGTGGCGTGAGGAACTTGGGTAAACTGGGAACTTTTATTAGTAAACATCAACCTCGTTCCCAGGGTCCTTTGGGACTTTATATGGGGGATTGGGGCAGGGGGCGAGAAGAAGAAAGGCCCTAGGATCGGCCATTCAAAATACCCACATTCCGGGGGTATTTTGAATAAGCATAATTAATCATAAAATTTGCCTAATATTTTCAAAATGGCGGCGTAAGGTACAACGGATAATATTGTCGCATTCAAAGCAAATTGGAATTGTATTATTTCGGAATAATTAGAAAATATTCCGCTAATTACACATAAATTAATAGGAAAAATCATTTAACCAATCAGAAAACAGGATCGGCTGGCCGATCCCAGGGCCTTTTTCCCCAACCCAGAATCAAGGTAAAAGGCCCTGGAAACGAGGTTGAGTTGATTGAGTAAACATATTTCCCGATATTTTTCTCAAAGCTACAATCAGTTTCAAAAGTTTGGAACATGTAGGCAAACAATTTCGTTCTGCAATAATTTGCGAGGGGGTGGGACATTCTCCCTCGCCAATTTTGTTGTCTGCCCCCCCCAGACCGGCTTTTCATGTTACGTAATAGTTTACGGTCTTATGCGATGTTCGCCGCTTCATTTATAATAAGATCCTGCCCCCAAAAACATTTCTTTGCCCCTACTCCCCCCCCCCGTTCATTTCAGCCCGGCGCCGTCACTGAATGGGCAAGAGGTGTCTAAACAACTGATAGTTGCGTTATAAAGTTTAGTCCCATGGCCAACTACTTTTGATTGTAGCCTTATTATTCCTTGATTAATTTATGTCAACACATGCAATTTAAATTTTTCAACTTCCACAACGTCTAAGACGATCAATTCGTGAATGAAAGAGGCTTGAAAATTATCAGGCAAAATGGTGGATGACATCCGCTCTTTGTAACAAATATGCTCTAAAATATGTACAGCGAATAAAAAAATACTAAGTAGCCAGCTGTACTCTTTGTTTCCACTGATTATTCAGATTGAACTCACTAAATTTGGTTAGACGAAAATCAGTTTACAACTACACAAGCATACGACAGTCATATAGTTATTAAGATGGTGAGTTGCCCCGATACATTCTTAAGTTCTTAAGGCTGCTTTCCACTTACGCGTTTTTATACGCACGTACACGTACGGAAAATCTTAAATGCTTTTAAATTTTTATTATTTACCATCTGGGTCAACTAATGCACACCAAGTAGCTTCGATTTATTCACTTTTTTTCAAAGGTAACATGTATAAGGATTTAGACTTACGTGCGTGTACGTGAGTATGAAAACGCGTAAGTGAAAACAGCCTTAATCAGACATGCCATCCTCAAATCAGTTAGGTAAAAATTCAAGAATTTGATATATTGTCCTTAAAATATTGAGGAATTCCGATGCATATTGACTTATCTAACGTACATCAACATTGTTACAATGTTGTCTATTCATCATAATATAAGTACGGAGCTCTGAATATCGTTAGAGGGTAATTACATAATATATCCTGGCTTTGGTTTGGAAATTTGACGAGCGAATTCATGGCTCAGGCTCAAGCTAATGCAGCGATACGAAGCTAAGTTGCGAGATTGAAAATGTGAATATTATGCATTAAATAATGTACTCTGCAAAGTTTGTTATTTTCAATGTTTTGTTGCTGAACGTGCCAAAGGCAAAGGCGACAAAAAAGTCTGATGAGACATTTGGCAAAACTTTAAAATTCGGCCATATCGCCTTTGAATTGTATTTCTGGTATCATATAAATTATCTGTTTGCTTAGGTATATCTTGTTTGGGCATGTTTCACTTACATGTTTTCCTTCAATCGATCTGCAAAGAAATTCCGCGTGAATTAAACAGTCCATAAATTTACCTAATTGCTCAATAAATGTGATCTGTCTATGTGCCATTTCACCATAATTATTGCGACAATATCAGAAAGCGGAAAACCAATCATTACAAATTAGAAACGATGAAAAATTGAAATTTTTGAAAACAAACATCCAGCCAAAATAGTTTATCCCCAAAAAGTCAATTTGTATTGTTATAGCTTGCAACATACAATCCCGAAAAAGGTCTGAAGCCCCCAACAAAAGCTCTTGTGATGTAAAGACGTGTTAATTAATAATCGATAAAGTTCGTGTGCGTGTTGTGTTATTACGTTTTGTACTCTATACTTTTATACATTCGAATGTTTCCTTTCAAGCCGTGTCAGTGAAATCAATCTAATTATCTGAGATGAAAAGATCATATTTCTATAAATTTCACTTTGTAGACAAAATAAAACTGGCTAAAATACTATGAACACGAATTATTCTCCACTTACCATACATGCAAACAGAATATGACAAATATTCTTCTTTCGATATAAGACAGTTGCCAAATCGTACAGCCAATTGCAAAATCCAAATTTAAGCCACGCTTAAAACTTCAAATTCGACGAGTTAATTTCTTTGTTATGAATATGCTACTGTAACGTCTAATAAATTTTGATACATCAAAAGTTGTATCAAAATTTTGCCAACAATGCTTTTGTTGAATTGTTTTGGAGAGGTTTTGTAATATCTCTTTCGTGGTTCCTAAGAGCGGATGTGCATTTATGGAAATCGCCAACGCGTATATTAATACTACAAATGAGCAGACAGTAAATGTTAGTTCGAAACAAATATTTAAACCTTTTATTTTAATTTTCAATCTTGACAATAGAGGAAAACAGAAACGTTTATATATACCATCGATGGAGTAATCATCAATCAAATAATGCATATAATTATATTGACATAAATTAAGGGAGAGAACGTTTTGATTTCTTCTTAGAAAAAAAATCTCCGGAACGTCTCCTACGTTGCCAGGTGAAGGCACTCAGTAACAAGCACTTTCGGTATATAGTAATAAAAAATACTCCCAAACATTTTAGAAGTTGTTCGTATTCAAGTTTCCGAGGGTACATTTTGTGATTTGAAAAAGGGGACATTTTGCAAGGCTTAGAAAAAGGGGAGAGAGAACTATGACATTGTATTTCACTCCTTTCATTTTAAGAACAAAGTCTCTAATTGGTATTTCGAATTGTATATTCGAATTTCGAAGCAGAAGCTTTTACAGTATATTCCAGCTATGATTTTATTCTTTAATATTGATTTAGTATCTGTAACTATAGAGAAAACCTTGATGAAACACAAAATAATTCCGAAATGTTTTAGTTCCGCGAAGTAGCAAAAGTCTCTGCTTTAGAAAGTTATCGTTGAATGGGTAGTCAAAATTCCAGTACCATGTCGCCGCTAACAAGATTTGAAGAAGTTTTGCCATGAGCTTTGCCGAGTATCGTGCTAATGATCCTTTGCGCGCTTAGCATTCTACAAAAAAATACAGTATACTTTAATATTTAAAATACACAACCAGGCATCTTTCGCCGAATTATTTTCTATCGATGACTCGACGTCTCATACAAATCGCTTCGTAAGCAGATGTTACCGTCGTATTTACAATCTCACACGACGTTCACACACCCTGAACTCGTGACCGTGCTTCAACAGTTCAACTCATCCGGTTTGTCCGTGTGAAACATATATAAAACCGGTAAAATTTTCATCCTTTTTCTCCGTAGGCGGTGTGAACAACACCTGAAAAAAACTAATTTAAGCCCGAACTCGTCTAGTCCATATCCGGTACGAATAGCAATGTTTTGGAGCCTGTGATTTTCATATATCGTAAATCATTGGCAATGGTTATTGACAATATCGGCGTTATCCAACATCGTACCCAGGGTTTTGGTCGGTATTCTGTGATTCCTGTCTATCGAAGTAAATTATCTACCACAAGTCACTTTCATCTCACTTTCAGTATGAGAAATAGTCCAGACTTTGCCTTTAATTTGAGGTTGGGCAGACAAATTACTGACAATTTGTTATTCCGGTGATTCACTGTGGCAGTGCAAAGTGTCAAGATTTCTGAATTTGATTATCCGCTGTGGTATTCAGAAATGAGGACCCCATTGATTATTGGCAGAATATTCAAGGTCAGCCCAAAAAAACGTTGCAGTCAAAGGCAATATATACCTCCTATATCCGTTCATTTGTTCATCATTCCTTAATCTGCCATTCGGGGTTCTTTCATTGCATGGTAGTGCTCGAACACCACGGCTCTCGTCACTTCGAAACCATGTATGATGGCTTCGATCAGATAAGAACAAGTGTATCAGGAATTAACTACATCTATAATACGATTTACAAACACACAACATGCACAGACCTAATAGAAGACAGCAAACCAACAAAACTGAGCTAAACGAATACAAAATAGACGACAAACAACGACGAAAACATGACAACACAAAACCACATGTCACAATCACGACACACAATGACACAAACAACAAAGTTAGGTAACAAATCACGGTGAGATGTTTCCACTTATAAATTTCCAATTTTATTGAATGATTTTGAAGCAAAGCATTGCTTTAATTAATCAGTGCTTTAATCTTTTTATGTTTCTAATTTCCCAACGTTGTCACTAAATGGTATATACTATTTTTCCCTTCCTAATGCCCGAATCTATCAATTCACAATCAGCATTTTGTATAGTTCAGGAAAAAAACTTCTCAATCGCTTAATTTTTCGCAGTCATTTTTAGCGGTAATTTGTAAGTTTCGTTATGATATGTCGGCAAAGGTTAAGGCCTGATAATTTTTTAGCGATATCCGCGTATTTATGGTTTCCCAAATAGCAGGACATATATTTAATTGTCATTTCGAATGATTTGATCAAGCGCAAAAATGGTAACAGTGCTAAGACGAAAATTTAATTTACATTTATCGCCAAATTTGAACTATCGCCACCATAGTCGCGTTGCCGCCAAAAAACCGCCAAAAGAAAACAAATAGTCGAAGAAAAAGACAGTGAACAGAAAGTGGAAACACAAACAGCAATGGCGGACGAGGGCAGCGAGAATGAAAAAGTAACGTGCACGTTTTTTAAAAAAGGAAAAAGGAAAGGAAACGTTCGCAAACGAAAAGCAGAGAGCTCCGGAAGCGAAGATGAGACTTCTGTTGTGAAAATTGAAAGGAAATCCGCGCCAAACCCGTTAAAACAAAAAACTGCCACCGCAGTTAGGACTTGGGAGAATGAGGTCGAGAATTCTAAAAAGATCAACTCAGATAAGCAAGGTTTATTAAACCACTTTGTTTTGACTATTGTAAAATATATCAATAATAGAAAAAATATGGGTAGATGTTATTGATGAGTTCTTAGTAAAAAAACAATTTCACTAAAATTTCCCCAATAAGATAAAGGGTGGATTTTTTTAATTATTACACCACATTCATTTCTCAGACTTGATGATAGTGGTTTATCATAACTTCTATTGTTAATTTTGCTTATACTTGTGGGTTCACCAATCAGATTGCTGTCATAATACAATGAGATGAATCAGATAATAGTACCATGATACGTACCTGAATCTGGTCCCAACTTGTTCCATCAACATTTTTACTATTGCTCTAACCCCTTTATGATGCCCCAAATTAGAAAATGTTATAGGATCAAAAGTCAAAACTGTGTGGTACCGGTCACAGACATAGCAGAATACTTGCATTGTGTGAGTAATATCAGTCACACAGAGGGCATGACCTTTTGACAAAACAAATATGTGAGACAGTGGAAACTGAAGTTTTATGGAAGTTTTGATGTCTTTAAAATTCAGAAATGTTTTGTAATTAGTGTAATAGTGTGTAGTCAGTACATCTTTTTAGGACTACAGGTACTGAAGGTATTCATATGAAGTATTAAATAGTCTGACTTTCAACCAGACATTTAAAGTGTCTCTATCTCACAGACACTTTCTAAATTAAATTCTTACTTAACAGTATTTCGATTTTCATTTTCATCAGCTCTCTGTTATACTATTATTAATATATAAATATAAAAATCTTCCAATCAGGAACAACACATTTTGCAAAGATATTCAGCAGCCTTTGTTGGCTCATTGAGTGGTAATCCTACACATTTTTTTACTCATGATAAATAACCACATTTAATTATTATTGATGTGTGCATATACATAGGATTTAAAACTATGTAGCATGTACTATGCAACCGATTTTATCATCATTACTGTACTGTGTATCATTAACTGTACTGTGAGACATATAATTTTTTGTGACAATCTCTGGTTTAGTATGTCATCACCCTTATAACACACCAGCTTTTTGCAGATGGGGCAGATGGAACTCCTCCAAGTGAGAAAGTCAAATTTTTCTTCAAATCTACACGATCAGCAATGAGCAGTGATCCCCAAGATTCTGGTGCAACATCAATTAATGAGGTTGATACTGAACTGGACCGAGATGCTCAGGCAATCTTTGAAAGGAAATTGGCAACAAATAAAGAAGTAAAAGAGAAGGGTGATGATGATAAACTTTATAAAGGAATTAATAATTATCAGAGTTTTTACGAGAAAAGAGATACAGCACAAGGAAATGCTGCCTCAGGTAGTGTAAGGTAAGGTAAAAGTAACATAGTGTTTTGAACTAATCTTTTTGTTCATTTTTCTTTCAAACATCTCTAAAATCTATTTACACACTGGGTACTGGTATGAAGTCTCTGTTACAGAATGCAATTTTTCTTGCAACAAGTTTGCAATGGAATTATACTTTTGAGAGATGTAAATTAGTGAACAGGTTTTATGTCCATGAGGAAAAATAAAACTTTTGTGTTTGCCAAACTTACATATTTCAAAAGTAGGATTGCATTGCAAATTCAAAAAAACTGCATCGTATAACAACACAGCCTCAAAGGTAACAGCAAAATCCCCAGTAAAATTGGCGTTTGTTTTTAAAACATTTTCCTGTCCTGATCCACACAGACACGGGCCAATACGAGCACCAGCGAACATTCGTGTGACAACAAGATGGGATTACCAACCAGACATTTGTAAAGATTACAAAGAAACAGGGTTTTGTGGTTTTGGCGATAGTTGTAAGTTCCTACATGACAGAAGTGACTACAAACATGGCTGGCAATTGGAACGGGAGGTGGACAGCGGAAATTATGACCAACAAGACCCACATAAGTACGAGGTTAACAGTGACAGCGATGATGATCTCCCTTTTGCATGCTTTATATGCAGGGAACCATTCACAAATCCTGTTATGACAAAATGTAGACATTATTTCTGCGAATCTTGTGCTCTTAAACATTACAAAAAATCTAAAAGATGCTACGTGTGTAACCAGGCAACACAAGGTGTGTTTAACCCTGCTAAGGATTTGATTAAGAAGATCAACGAACAAAAACAAAATGAGGAACAGAGTTAGGACGTAGAGGTGCTATAGAGTACACGAGGGTCACAAGAGGTCCCAAGGTGTCAAATACAGTCCAGGTTGACTTGTTGGTATTGACAGTGTAAATAACAACCTGTGTAAATATTGGTAATCATTTAGACTGATAGACAACTACCGAATATAAGCTATTCTGAAATCTAAGTAGCTCTATTCACTGATATCAGTACCCCATCCTGACTGGAAATTTTGGTTAGCGACTGAAAAATCGCCACTCAAAAATCGCCGGATTATTGCAAATATGTTGACCTTTTGGGGCCAGTTGTAAAAAAGCCGTAGCATCAACATTGAACATGTTTTGCCATAAATACTTCGTGGATCAATAGAACTAGAAGTCTTAATTTGTGAAGCCTTGAAACGAACAACAGTGCAGAAGCATATAAACTAAAACAGCGGAGTAAAATTTAACCCAGGATTAGCGCTAATAACCTAGCTTTGAACAACCGTTCCCAGCCGGGAGTAGAAGAAGAGAAATAAACTCCCACAATTGTTTATAGGTTGATACTAGAATGAATTATAATTATTAAAGTTGGTTAATGAAAATATTCGACAACATAACGACTGATATGAAGGTCTCGCAGACTTGAGGAAAACAGATCTAGAGAAGACGGGAAGTTATAACATACATCGTTTGTTCACGATATACCTCCAACCTCGTACCCAGGGTCTCCCCCTATAAGACAGTGAAATTACCCTGGGTACGAGGTTGATATACTTCATCTGAGCCTTTGGCTATCCACATGCAATCAACCATGATATTACTAACTGCTTCCCATGATCATGACGAGTTTCACACATCTGCATGCCTCATATCGCTTTATGTAAATGATGTTAATTTAATGAGTACATATTATAGATATGTTACTGTATATTTCAGTTCACATGCAAATAGACTAGCAATTTGGGATGAATCCAGTATAAAAGCAACGAACAATAAAGTGGAAGTCAAGTCTGCCGTGGCGTATGTAAACGAACGGTTTGTTCACATTTTGAACTTCTACACTTCTTTAAATGGTTGTGTTGTCTGAATATTTAACAACGTTTAGGTTCGCTGTGCCTTTAAATGAATATGAACTAGTGTTTTTCATAAGAAAAATTTGAAACATGCGAAATTAGGGCAAAATTTCTGAGGACCTCACATTGTTATGAGCAGAAGTGATGCGCAGAACTGACTTTCACTTTGAAAGTTATGGAGCGCGGTGTCAGCCAATTCCGCGATATATACCTGTTTTATTTTTTCACGACAGACTACATAAACTATATAGTTTCTGCTTTCAATAAAACACTTTTAAGATTTTATAGTTGACGTAATCCCATATTGCTTTTCGCTGCTACATGGTCTGATGTATTTCCCCCATTTTCCTCCTGCCAAGAAAGAATAAATAAATAATTTATGATTTGCAAAATATAAATAAAAATCGATATTCTCTGTAGGACAAGTATTATAATAGCGTAGACGTAGTGAAAACAGTGATTAATATAGAGTGTGTTTTTATTTTTTAGTAGCTATATATTGTTTTTAGATACTAGTTAATAAGTTTCAAAATTGAGTTTTGAGTATTTTGAACTATTACAACGTTGTTGAAACCATAGAGAATTTTCCCTTTTCGTGGAAATTCAGAGATTTATTATTTATAGCACGGTTGCTACATACAACAGTGTCTTAGTGTCGATCTAATACTAAAATAATTTTAGTAAGATTGCAGTGAGTTCGTTCGGTCAGACAAACGTCTTCATTTGGGAAATTACTGCCTATTTTTCCGCTATTGAAAAAGGTTGGATACATCGTCACTGCATGCGTTGAGTGAAATAGTCGTGAAGGCGTGCGTGCAAATCAAACAATAGACCCTTCTTTTCAAGTTTTACTCTCACGAGCCATGTGCAATTTAGTGCAAAAATAAAAAACATCTCGTTCATCAACACATGCATGAAAGAGAATTTTAACTTTGACAAATAAGTGTGGAAATAAGCTGTAACACTAAAACGAGGCTACCAGGCTACGTCTGGGAGCCTCGTTCTCGAGTAAGGGCTTATTTCCACACCAATTTGCGAAAATGGAAAGTTCTTTTTCATGCATGTGTTGAAGAAGGATGTTTTGTATTTTCGGCTGGCTCGTGAGAGTAAAACTTGAAATCCATCTCATTTAAAGTGGTTCTAAATAATTTATAACGATAATCTTGTGATGTATGGGGCTATTTACTCTGTTCGGGCATAAAAATCTCCATGCAATTTTTTTATCTTTTTCATCACGGTGAGTTAATAGTAAATTTATAACTGGATGATTTTTTCAACTTATCAGCTTGTGATACTTACAATCGTGGCCAAATCGTTGCTTCCTTGTTTTTGATATCCACGCACCATATAATACGCAATTATAATCACAAAGAATGATGTTAGGCAAATACCAATTATCACTGCTATAATTCCTTTGCTTAAGCCCTCACTTATACCTACAAGTACATAGAAATTCTATCAAAATTGATTGGATGTAGGTTGTAAAATTAGTGTTGATTGTTTGTTCAGGTTTTTACGATTGTTCCAAAACATACCAAGACGGCGAGAGCGTTGCAAAAAGCCCACGTTTTTACAATCGTTCTCCTAACGAACAATTTACAATGGGAATATATTATTTAACAACTCTTTTGCTTGCACCTTTGGATCTGAACAGCGCAATCTAAATTTAATATGCTCTGGCCCGGGATACAGAAAAACCTGATAAAAAACTAATAAATCGTAGATAAACACGACTTACTCGCTTCTGCAGTGGTGCTTACGATACGTCCATTCGATGTCACAGGGCTTTCTCCAACAGTTAATGTCAATCCCAAGATTAAATTTAGCAGTATTCCTGCGTTCGTCCACATCATAACCTTGTTTTGAACGAAATAAAAGATCGTCAAAAATAAACAAATTCAAGGTTTTACACTATATCCGGTATGGCGTCTGCGCATGCTATTCTCGTTGAAAGTGACATAAACTGTTGATATTAACGTTGGCGTGATAGTTAAGTCTGTTTTGTGTGGAAAGATGTACGTATATAACAACTGTTGAAACTCAGCAGCCAATACTTCGCACAGCAAAAATATTAAAATATAATATCGTTATATTGACTCCCGTGTCCCAAGTTGTCCTATAATATAGGTAGAGACTAAAGTCAAATTTTAACCCATATTTGTGAAGATGTAGATGAATGTATTCTTATAAGGCTATATATAGAGCTTGGTTCAAGTCGGTCTAAATGAAGCCGGTTTATGCGTGAAAATGTTATTATATGCCGGGGCTTTAATTCACCTTTTCATCTTGTAATAATCAGTTTACCTTTTATTGTGTTTTGCAGTTGTTGTGCATGCTCAAGAACAGTGCAAAAAGACTTTCCCTAATCCCCAGAACACCGTTCTAAATTTTATCAACACGACAAATGTTCTTTTATATTTTTCAAACGCGTCGACATTGCATGATCATCGGCAGACTGAGCCGTTAAGGCAAACCACATTGTACGACCGGGAGGAACTCACTTCCTTACATCCTCATATTTTCCAATTAGAAAACAAAAAATGGATACTTACATGGAATTTGCTACGGCAGCTGTAAATTCATACGCAACAAGTTCTGTTCTGTGTATGCTGGGAATCTGAGTATCTAACTTTGTTTGTTCAAGAAAATAGCTTGTCCTTTCATCAGTGTCGTGTTACAGCGTTTGCCCTTCCATGACTCTTATGATCACGTGAATTTGTAAACCTCCTTTATGTAATTTGTGTATAAATGCCAGCTCTAGGGATGAAGCTCGGTCATCTTCTGATTTCAAGAAATAATGGAAACGGAACGATACCCCTTCCCCCCCCCCTTGCCATTAGAGTCGTAAACTGCAATGGTCATTTGAATATACGACTCCCCCAAAATATTGATTTTATTCCGGCAGAAGAAATTTGTTATATAAGCTTCTAGGTTTCTAATATCGAGTAATCGAGAATTTAGCTCAATTAATCGAATCAAATTACCTTTCCCCAGGCGATGGCTGCTAGGATAGCAACTTGTTCTTGCCGGCCCGTTCTCGCCACATAAACTCGTCCAGATACCGGCAATGTTGCGTACCACGACTTTCATATTTTAAATTTAAACTTGCCCTGTAACACCCGTAACTGGGTCAACGAAACGGCTTTTACGATCTTATGAAATTGTTTAAGTGTTTTGAATTTTATTTGAATTTGAATGATCTGAAAATTGCCGTACTGAAACACCCACAATAGATGGGGTGTCATAAAAAATCCATTGCGAAACAAACATACGCGAACGCATTTAAAACAGACACAAACAAATTAAGTGGAGTCGTATTCTGCATCCCAAAAATTTCTTCATGAAGTACACGGTCTCAACGGCAAGGGGGGGGGGGGACTCGTAAGATAACATGATCCCCTCCCCGTTTCGCAGGTCAGAAAATGCAGCGATGAAAGTTCCAGAAAATTTCTTTTAAATTCTTTTAAATGTTTGTAGAATGTCAAAATTTTTAACCTTTCCTCATTGAACTCATTGAATCATTTGTGCAAATCTTAAAGCAGTGGCGGGTCCAGGTCAGAATTAATTACCACACTAATGCTTTTTATGTAAAAGTATTTTTAGATAAAAGTATTCTTTAGAAATAAGTATCCAATACCCTGAACCGCCACTGTATGAAAATCAATTGCGGACAACGCCCCCCCCCCCAGGTCCTTTGCGGACACCACTAATGCATGAATACTCGTTAACTGAAACCGCACCATTCACGATGTCGTGACCAGGGTTGGTGGACTCCTGCGCAGATAAGAGCCATATGCAGATATATATAGTTTAAAAAGTAGAGCTTAGAAGGTTAAAGCTACCAAAATACTAAGTCGACAGAAATCTGCCTCGTTCCTTCAGCCAGCGTAGGGGGACAGGGTTTGTGTTATAGTTGACCGGCCAAATACTACGGCAAATAGAGATAATATAAACGAATTTTATGTACGTCGTTTTCTTTTAAGTCTTAGAAGTTAAAGTTGGGAAGTTTTTAGATTCGAACTTCAAGGAACAACACTGAAAAAAAAGTAAAAAGTTGTCGACTTCAAAGCTTCGAAGCAAAACTTCAGTATATGAGCTCTGTCTATATGATACTGAGCACACTAGTATTTCTAAACCATCCATGCATGTGATAGAAAAACAGCATAGTTCCGGGACCAGTTTGTCAAAAAGAAACCTACTATTCGGTGAACAAATGCTTCATATTTTGTATACGTTACAGTCAATTTTTAAAAATAATTGTATCATCTATTTCTAAGTATAATTGCTAAGTTTGAACTGATTGGAAATTCTAGTTAGTTTTGATAAAGAAATACGGCTGCTAGTTCCAGGCATTTTTCTCACAGACAGACCAGCTACCTGGAAAGAGTACTACTCATAGATATTTTTTCTGATGAATTGGGCGTTGTTTAAATACTATATATAGATCAACGCTTATTTATATTTATCATAAAACTTCCTCAGTAAAATCCTTCGATTGTTCATTTTCCAGTTTACTTTCCGAGGATGTGACATTCTAAAAGTAGAAGATTAACATGATTTTAACTTGTTTTGTAACGAGGAGAGTATTCTTCTCTGTACACTGCCTTTAGTCCATCCATTTAGACCCCTGAACCGTAATACTAGACCCCACTGAGCTATAACAACCACGTGTGGCAATATCACAGCTGATAATAGTTCACGTCTGCGTAAGGATTTTCGCTGTGGAATTCGAAACGAGTGACCGTGAGGAAAAATTACATCGTGCTTGATTTGACTGTCCACGCGTGGAAATATCCCACGTGTGCGGACTATGTGAGCTAATAGCTCGACACTTAATAAGTTCAGGAGCCAATAAAAATACGAGCTTTGAATGAATTATAGCTCAGCCAAAAGCTCACGGCTGCGGCAAAATAACATATAAAGCAGCTGTATTATGTATATGCCACACATGCGCATTAGCTCAGCCAAATGCCGACGTCTAAGGCAGGTCTAAAGTAATATACTCTGATTACTCTCTACCTCCTCCACAGGCGCTAGGGAGCATATATAAGGGTAAAATATCACTGCCCGCCATATTGCCCGGAAAAGAGCCTGCGGAGGAGGTAGCTCACTGAGGTAGCTACACTCTAATTACCATTGTATCATCCAGTCTACGTTTGAGACCAGTGACCCGACTCATTATTCCTACCTTATTTAATCGCTCCATTTTAAGCAACTGCCTGTGATTCGTAAATCTCTTTTGCTCAAAATATCCTCGACAAAGGAAAATTCCGATGCAGCTGATTATTAAAGCAGTTAAGCCCACACCCAGAGCCACCGCTATCGTTATTTTTGAGGTAACGCTATGGCCATCTGAAAGAACAAGAAAAAATAAAAATAATTTTTTGTAATAAAAAATAAATGGAGTATTCAGTCTCTTCTGGGCTAATAGAGTTTCTCTGGGTGTAGAGATGGCACCGATCGTTTCCAATAGACCTTCAGTAATTACGCCAACATAAGTATTGAAATAAGCCATAACGCGAGAACGAGGCTCGCGGGTTTAGCCTCTGAGCCTCGTTCTCGTGTTATGGCTTATTTCCAAATTTATTGGTCAAAATACAAAAATCTTTAATGCATGTGCTGAAGAAGGATGTTTTGCATTTTTGTACGTGGCTCGTGAGAGTAAAACTTAAAACTCTATCCCGTTTAAGGTGTTTGTAAATTAAATTAAAACGATAATGTGGTGTCGTAATTATCGAAAAACTTTATTTTAGTTCGCAGAGGGACATCGGAACGATGCAAAAGGGAGTGAGAGCTGCCCAGATGAATGCCCGATGTTTAGCGCTGTCCAAAGCGGATTATCAACACGTTGCAATGCAGCCTTTTGAAGTAAAAGGGCACCTTATGAACACCCGGAATTAAGACGAAATCAACTTTCCCAATTCCCCTATGTAAACAACATCAGGTCAAAGACGTTTTTGCTACAGAGCAACAAAAATTTGGAATATTTTGGCCGAAAGATTTAAAAAAGTTACCTTTTATGTAAAGCATTTCAGAAGCACTTAAAGAAAAATATGTTAGCAAACAATTAATGTTAACGGAAACTTCTCTTAGTAAAAGTATTAACAAAGCTTAGTATATAACCAAGACTTGCTTCTAATTATGAATATATTTTATAAATATAGTATAGCCCATATAATAATACTATTTATAGAAGCATAATTTTTATTATTTGTTAATACATACTGAAAAGCCCTATTGGGAGTATGTTTTATGTATAACAATAATAATAATAATAGATTTATAATAGAATTACAAAAGATTGAAATTCAAGATAAATGACAGGAAAAGATAGGTTATCTTCCTCGTTCGATGAACAGCAGGCAAAAACGAAAAATACGTCGCGAGGAAACCATGCAACTGATATGAGCCTAGCTGGATGGATAGATCATGCAAGGTAGAGTAAATATAGGTAACCCGATTTCCAAAAATTAACTTCATGTTGATAGACAATTGATTGTAATCTTTATACAGACATAGTTCTGTGAAGTTCTACAAAGCCGTAGTTCTACAAAGCCGGAAATTTGCATAACTTTACATGTAATAATAGCTTAGATATTTTTATCGAAGCATTACGCAACACCACACAGAGTGTATTGAAAAAACGAAACCTCATGCAGCTCGGAATTTCCAAAGAATATGTCAGCAAAACACAAAGATTTTAGTTCTCAAGAAATTTTAAACCGTCTTTAATTGCATTTTAAATCGCTTTAATTGCATTTCAGGAAATATGCATATCACCCCATATGTCATTATTTTTCAATCAAGTGTGGTTTATGCTCTCGAGGTTCGACAATTACGAGCTATATTTAAAATTAAGTACACCAAGACACACAAGAAAAGTTTTTTTCAAGATAATTCCGTCTCGCGAGGTCTTATAAGTATTATTATCGAGGAATGAGTAAAACCCTTCCGTTTGGAAAACATATCTGATGTTTAATATGATGTTTAATCCACAATAGGGGAGATAAAGAGCGACTACTCTACACGCACAAGTTATGTGGAGTGTTGTGCGAAATCTTTTAAATTTTCACGACAAAGACCAAGTCGATTGGTGCCACACTGTCTTCTCTAAATCTTAGTTGTGTATAATTAACAGTTAACATACGAGCACCATGGAAGTTTAATTATGGAGGAAAATTTATAATGCGTCAAAAATGCAACCAATTATAAAATGCCTAACATATCCTGTTATTCCTATATCAGTATTTATCACAAATCTGTAGCCCATGCAAGCATATGAAGAGAGAATTCAAACCTAGAATCAGTAGAAGTGTATGAGAGCGAGCGAAGGGAAGATACGATTTTGATTCCAGTTTGTCGTCAGTAAATCATCTTACTTTCCATCCCTTGTTTTCCTATTTTCAATTATGTCAAAAAAAATAGGGAAGACGGTTTAATTGAATAATGATGGCAAACGAAGCGTTTGCTGGGAGGTTCGTAGAGTTATCCATACATTTAAGACAACGGTTAAAAAACATTGATTCTTGAATTTACAATAACAAGTATTACTAAGTAAAAGTTTTAATGCACCCCACCGGTTTCAATGCAGAGTTCGTCGTATATGTAACCTAATCCTAAAATCTCTCGCGCAACCTTACGAGGAATATGTATCCCCTTTGCGAGAAAAAGACTATATTTAGCTGTATTCATATATCTGTTCTGCCAGACGGGTTCCTCTTGTTCTCCGGCGTACGCGTTTTCTAACGAAATCGTCAGGCAGTACTGAATATTTGAATGTGACCCCCCCCCCAATTATTGCGCTAGTTACGGTCCTGATTGCATCTGTATCCATAATTTATTTTCCAATCTTGCTAAAAGCGTTTTGAAACATTTTAAGAACAGACAGCTTTGAATTTAGTTTGGTGTGATTAAACTGAAAACCTTTTCCAGCAGACAATTTTGCAAAATATAAGAGAAAACATACTCCGAAAATAAACATCTTGTAAACTCAAGATATGAGTTGTTAAAAGACGAGACACAATATTCAAGGTGATATTTCGACTCTATTTCAAAGTCTTTGACAATGACTTTGAAATAGAGTCGAAATATCACCTTGAATATCGTGTCTTGTCTTTTAACAACTCATATCTTAAGTTTACAAGATGTTTATTTTCGGAGTATGTTTTCTCTTATATTGGTGTGATTAGTTACTGAAATTGCTCCGTAAAAAATATATTACCATGGCATTTTAACACAAAAACATATTAGCAATTGCATATTGATAAGCTATCACACGTGGCATGTGTACTTTTATATTTTGAAATGTGTTACGCGAATATAAAATGAAATTAATTTTACCAAATAGGTCGGCAAGGATAGATATATAGATAATATTGATTATGCTGTAGATATATGAATGTACATAAAGACCAGGTTTTATGTTTTCAGGATTAACTTACCGCTATTCGAGTGCGATGTAGTAGAATTACTTGTCACATTGCCAGCCAGCCTTCCTAGTCTTTGTGTCATTTGAACCAAATGTACAAGGTTTAAGAATAAAACTGTTATTTCCAACTGCAAACCCATGTCAAATTAAATTTCCTACACCATTAACCCGTTTTCGATGCCACCATATTCGCTGTGCTGTTCACTGCCAACTTAAATATTTCGACGAGTTTGAATAGAGATGCTTACACTTCTCAGACCAGTGTTATGTGATGTACCTGCGTGTGTCGGCTTTGTTTAACATCGCCACTTGTTAGTTGTTATAATTTACAACTATAATTTGCATGAACCGGATGAGTGCAGGCCTTTAGACGGTCACGCATTAATTATGCTTCTGCTGCAGACTGTAGTTTGCATGCCTGGTGGTCATGAAAGGTAAAATCTCTATCTTTCTTGCACGAATTTTAAGCTTACTAACAAGTATTTTTTAAATACCTTTTTGCACCCGAGACATACACGCAAATTTCTAATGGTCAATAAGAAGGCATCTAATTTGGTCAAAACTCAGAGACGCCGGGGTAATTTTCCTTTTCGTAAACGGACGTTGCCATTTGAAACAGTCGTTGCTATTTTCTAGGACGGTCGATGCCAAATGGTCGTTGCCATATTGCACAATATCTGAATTCATCTATTTTAAAACATGCATGGCAACGCCATTTAAAAAGGCGTCGACCGTTCTGAAAAATGGCGACGACTGTTTGAAATGGCAACTTCCGTCCTTCAAAGGCAAGGTGGGGCAGATTATCGTAGAAGGGTAGTTTAAATGCGAATGTTGGTTAGTGTTTTTAAAACATCGACTGTTGAACAGTTGTTAGATGATTGTGGTGTCTGAGGGTTTTTCAAGGGCGTAGGAAGCATCCAGAGGTTGGGGGGGCACCAGCTACTAGGGGCACTTTTGGTTAATAAAAATGACGGTTAAAATGGTTAGTAAAAATATATATATAGGGACGGTTTGATTCAGGGATCGCCAACCGCAGAGCATTTTTCGTATTTTTTGGGGTTCGTACTGCTAGGGGTGTCCGGGGACATGCTCCCCCGAGAAAATTTTGAGAGTATAGGCCTCTGAAATGGCCGCAAATCCCTCTCAATTTAAGGTGATTATTGGGAAATAGTAGATACTTTTTTCTTTCTTTTCGCTTCCCAAAAAGGCATTTTTTTCACAAAAAGGGCACTTTTGGTCCCTTGAAAAATCTTGGGGGGGCACGTGCCCCCAGTGCCCCCCCCCTCTCCTACGCCGCTGGGGTTTTTCGCCAATCGATTGTGCTTTCCTAAATCTGCATGGTTGGCTGCATTCCGGCGTTATCTATAGGCTGAGTTAATGAACAAATTGCAGTATAGTTGGACATCTTCTTCCCCTTTAGCCCCTGCTGGTAAAAGACAAGGGAAGCAGCTGCCACTGCAACCCCCAGTTTCAGTTGCTGGTCTAAACTTGAAGGGGAATAAATTGCGGCGGTATTTAAGATCTTACTTTCTTCGCGGATGCAAGTTCCGAACCTTCTTTTCTATTTATTGCTAAGTAACAGACATATTTGGGACCTTAGGGGCCCGTTCACTTGCGGTTTTGGCTGCGATTCTATGTGCAATTTTCTTCTTTTGATAGATCAGGTGAACGTCGTCGAATAATTAGTTAAGAATTCGAATGCTCTTGAATGCTCTAATGTATAAGAGCTGTTATTTGAACATCAGTAGCTAATTCACTCGTTCACATTTATCAAAAGAAGAAAATCGCAGCAAAAATCGTAGCAAAAATGAAAAATCGCAAGTGTAAACGGGCCTTAAGATACACTAAATCTACGACGCGGGTCGCGGAAGTATAATAATACTGTCTTCACTTCAACAGTTTCACAACAGGAATACAAATTATGGACTCCCTTCGGCAAACAAGGTCGGAGCTGTATGTATAAAACTAATCAAAACTGCCGGATTCTTTAACAATCCCGGCTGATTTCATGTCACGTCTGCGTCGTAGATGGTGCATCGGTCCCCATTATTAGTATGACGGCTGTTCAGAGTTTCTGAATTCCGAAATGAAGGTCTTATTAGTCGCGTTTAGCTAACAATATTCTTCAGCCTGCATGTAAATGCACCGTATACTTCGCTCGGAGTAAACCCGCGTAATAAACCTGTGTGTCTGTAGTATAATAGTATAGCATACAGCTATCCATACAGCTACCCGCTAGCTAGCATACTATACCCCATGCATATACAGTGCATGAGTTCATTCCGAAACTCTATATTTTCCCTAAAATTACCCTGAGGCCTGAGAGACTCAGAGAAAGTAGTTTTTGGTTGAAGTCATCTTTTCATGGTATTCCAGCTTACAAACCGCAAAATCTCGCAACTGGTTTCATGAGATTTACTGGCATGTCTGAACAATGCAAACCGGCATTTTTACAAACGACGTTTTACAAGAGAATAGCCAATATATAGGCAGTAACATCGGGGCTTTACAAAATGACATAATAAGTTAAGTGTTATCGGCTTATAGCCAAAGCAAAACGTTTTTGTGGATGGAAAATTTGCATTAACATGGATATTAATTATGACCACAACCTGCAAGCTATTTATGTAGATGGTTTTATCTGCATCATAGAGCCTCGAGGCGGGGTTGATAAGTTGTCTGATTTGTTGATAAGTCGGGCATTAATTTTTGCTCATTAAACTCAGAACGTCCGAAATCAAAATCCCAAAACATTTAGATCCGTACGCATATTTACCAAAAATTTGTTTTACTGTCTATTGTTTGAAGCGTTTCCATTTGGTCTTAACCCGTCTGTTTAACGACAAATGGTAGATATAGGGGCCATAGGAATGTGTAGGCAGAATAGGAAGTGTATGCAAATCAGTCTTTACTGACGATTGCAGTCCTTACTGGAAACTTGTTGTATTTAAGGATGACAGGAGTTGGAAGGGGTCTGAATTTTTTGTACTTTTTTAATCTCTGTTATTTGATTTGGGGGCAGAAAACTGATGCCATTTGTTTCTGTGTAACGATGTAATTATATGCATGAAACAGAAATCTGCATGCAACTGCCTTGTCAACGTAGCTATATATTACCTGCTAATTCGGTCAAAATATTATTTAAACCTGTCCACCATAATGGCATTATGTTTTTTATAACGCTATAACAACCCAGGTACTGTTTGATGTTTTTCATAAAAGAGTCCTAATATATGACTGCATACGAGCATTAGTGCAAGGCATGTACTTATGTACTCAGTGGTGTCCGTTGTATGCAAGTTTCAATATATTGTAGTCCCTGGCAACGTAAAGAAAATCTCTTATCACTTTAGTAATAGCAAACAGATATCGTGTTATAAATCATGGTAGCAAGAAGCTTTCCGCGTTGGCTTTTCCGGAGCTGTGTGATTTTAGGATTGGGGTTGCTATGCAGAAACGTATGGTGCAGTCTTTGTCATCGCGAATACCAATATATGAAATTGAATGAACGAGGTAAAAACTGATAAACGCTGGTATAATAAAGGTTTCCACTGGAACATATACAAGCAAACGAGACGAAGTTAAAAAATCCTCTTTGGAAATTTATTTTGTTTTTGCTAGCCTAAGATAGCAAATTAGCGTGTGTTTAATAAAATACCTGGCCTTAGGCTATATATATCGTTGTCTTTACCGTCTTTATTACCCCGCTTTTGCTTCTCTTATTCAGCCAGTTTCTATAGCGAGAATTATCAACCAAATTTCAATAACTTTTAATTTATACGCGTGTATTTAAAATAATCACTGAGTACAGCAACCTTTGACTGAACTACTTAGGATATTTTTTAAAAAAGTATTTTGCCAGTGTGACGTGTGTTTCATCCTTTCCCGGAGCTTCGAAATGCTTAATTGCAGTGAGGTGGGCACATCCTGAAATATTTGTAGGGGGTGTAAAATATTTTATGAATATCCAATCTTACTAATTTGGATGCCGTTTCTAGATGAATTTTTTAGTTTTAAATTTAGTTCTAGGGGGAAATAGTGCTTAGTCATTGTACCAGATTCACACGATTTCGCAAAATCAAAGTGGCGAGAGATAAATCGTCATAAGCTGAACTATACAAAACAGGGACGGTTGTATAAAAAAATAGTCAACCTATCTATGGCTGGTGGAAGAATGATGAATTAATGATGGCGCATAATGATGGATTGAATTTCTCATGCCTGAACTTATGTCAACACTGGCATAACTTTATTCACGTTGACTTTTTCTTTCTAGGCAGGGGTTATTTTAAGAGAATTTGATCACTCCACGAAAGCGCACTAGAAATAGTATATAAAGTTTATGAAAATATAACGTTGTTTCAGAAAAGCTCCGGGTGCCCTGAATCAGCATGATAGCACGTCGTGTATTGGTTCTCCAAAGCTTACGTAATTGACTATATATCCAGTTATCTGCCCATACTCACAATAATATGTATAAAGTGTACATGTGTATAAATCCAGTAATTAATAAAAGTAGTTTGTGGAGTTAATCAAACGTCGTATACGCCGCCGGCTAAGTCATCTCCAACGGATTATTTTTTATCTTTTGTAATAGCGTATCCTCAAGAAACTCCACTCAAAATTACAACAACAAGTAGGTTAGAGTTCTGTTCGTTTGAGTGCACGCATGTGTCTGGTTGTAGATCACTTGCATTCCTAACGACCACCAATACAAACAATTGCCATCTCGGAAGCAGCAAGGATGGTATAGCAACATCAACCGAGGCTGTTGTCTACAGACGAAGGACAAGCGGAATGATCGAGGTAAGCGAAGCCCCGTACAGACTGGCAAGTTTTCCTTGCCAAGTTTTATTTGCTCGTGTGTACGCACAAAATTGACAAGTTTTCCTTGACAAGGAGCCTTGTTCAAAAGCTAGTCATGCCACCTTTTCAACAAGGAAAAATGCTCGTTTGTCACGGCCTTCAAGGAAAACTTGACAAAGAATCGCGCAGCAGGGAACAGCGCGACAATCTTCGAGCTAATCGAGCGGGTTTTTGAAGTTTATCAACTTCTGTTTCTTTTAAGATTCGGTCTATACTCATTTTATCATGGCTCATATTATCGTAAATTTTTTCGCGTACACACGAGCAAACAAAACTTGGCAGGGGAAACTTGTACGTCATACACACGTGCAAGTGAACTGGTCAAGAAAACTTGTCAAGGAAAACTTGCCCGTCTGTAAGGGGCTTGAATGTATGTAGGAGTAGCTGTTAATTAATGCACGAGTGACGAGTAGAATATGGAGTTCATGGTACAATAGAGTTGCTACATTATGTTCTTTATAATATATGCTGTTCCCAAAAAGCCACAATGGTCTCTCTGAATTCTAATATAGTTATTACCCTCTCATCAACAAGGAGGAGTTTCGATTTAGATCAATCAGCAAATTAAATTTACGACAATGTGCATGAGTATCCCCATGGTGGTGTAACTAATGTGAAACGCATGGTATCTCTCCGGTCTTAGGGCTGTCAATCATCACCTTGTTTGAATGGAGGGACATGCGTGGATCTCTGTGAAGAACCTTACCATCTTTGTCATTGTCCAGCTGATAAACAGGGTCCTAACTGTGAACACGACATCAGTAAGTATTGAGATTTCTATAGAGCAGGTAGTGCATCTACATTTCAAAAGTGGTAATTTATTGAGCTGTTGCAAGTGAAATTTTGGGTTGCAATTTTTGTCAAAAACCACCAAATATAGTATGCAAGTGGCATTCATGGTAATCAGCACTACGGCCTATTACCGTTTGGCCTGTGATTTCAGAAGACTTTTAAAAACTCATGCAAAGCCAGTAAGACTATGTTACTAATCAGTTAAATGAAAGGATCGTGCCACTGATTAAATGGCGGATCATTTGTGAGTAAGTTCATAGTTGCAAAACCAACTGGAGAGATAAATCCACAGTGGAGCTGATTCCGTAGTTTGACTGAACATAATTTGCAAGAAAATGTAAACGCTATAACCAGAGGCGTAGCCAGGATTTTGAGGAGGGTGGGGACATACAGAAAAAAACCTAGGTGGGGCCAGGCTGCCAGTGTGACTCGGGACAAGGTTCATGCTAAACATTCTGAGCAGGATTTTGTGGAATAATGATGGACAATTTCGTTGCGCAAGTTCACATACAGACATTTTCTGGTATTAATGACCATGAAAATGTTTCGCTTCATTTTTTCAGGAGGGGCCTAAAATTTCACCAGGAGGGGGGGGGCACGTTCCCTCCAAACCCAGCCATAACAACGCCTCTAGCTACAACAATATTCAACGTGAGCAGTTTATTCAAACAGACGAACAGTGGCAAATTACAATCTCCACAATTTCAGTCCGATTTTCCAGTGCATGCTGGCTTAGCTACTTATAATTTATGTACCCCGACGTAAAACATAGCTTAGTGAAGGTGTAAGAGTAAAGCATATAGCTTTAACCCAAGGTGTAAGGCAATATATTCCAAATTTCGCTTGTCATAAATACATCTTTTCTTTTTATTCTCTTAGACTGCTTCAATTTAAACTGGTGGGACCAATTCGATCATGCGGGAACGCATACATGCAGTGGCAAGACCTATCTGGTTGGTTTAAAGAGAAGTGATTGCGCTTCACTTAGTTGCATCGAGGAACCCGTATGCTGTCCTCTTCAGTTTGAATACAGTACATCAAGCATGTCTTGTCAAAACGGAGATTGGTGGAATACATTTGCGCAGTGAGTTTGATAATCTTAGGGTTCAAGTATTCCATTCAGTCTTTTTTAGATGTGATCATTCAAAATTCGATATTTAGCATAACACAATTTTCTTCTTCCCAGTCATGACGAAAAAAATATTTATAAATTAAATTTTTAAAAATATATATCTTGGCTTTAATTGAATTTTTGATTATCAGGCTTTTCTTAAAAGAGACCACATGCACTGTATTCTAATAGGATTGTAATTCGGGAGAACGAAAACTAGATGGGTAGGGTGTTATATATTCAAAAGATTAAGAACATTTCAAATATCCCCATTTCACATTAATTATTTAAGGCTGTATTCCACTGTCGCGTTTTTTTCACGTAGCCACGCACGTAAAAGTTTAAATACTTCTAAAGGCTGTTTTCCACTTACGCGTTTTTTATACGCACGTACACGTACGGAAAATGTTGAATGCTTTTAATTTTTTATTATTTAACATTAAGGTCAACTAATGCAAAGGTAACATGTACAAGGATTTAGACTTCACGTGCGTGTACGTGCGTATGAAAAACGCGTAAGTGGAAAACAGCCTTTATGCGCTTTTCCGATACGCACGTACACCATAGAAATACTGATAGACAATGAATTATAGAAATAATGTCTATTATTTCTATGACGTACACGCACGTAAAAGTCTAAATCCTTATACATGTTACCTTTGAAAAAACTAAGTGAATAAATCGAAGGAACTTAGTTTTCTGCATATGTTAGTATGCATTAGTTGACCTAGATGTTAAATAATAAAAAGTTAAAAGCATTTAAAATTTTCCGTACGTGTACGTGCGTATAAAAAACGCGTAAGTGGAAGAAAGCATTCTTAAAGGTTTCCCACTGGGCGGAATTTTTCAATGGAACAAAAATTTTCGCTCGATTTTCTTTTCAATTATGAGAATTCGACCGTAGCAGATTCCCTTCGCCGGTCATAACAAAAGAAAATCGAAAGAAAAATTTTGTTCGATCAAAAAATTCCGCCTAATGGAAAACCGGCTTTCGGCGAGGAACAGGGATATTTTAAAAGGTTGGGAAGGAGGCTTTGCTGCAAGATATTCTTAGGGCCCTAAACTTTGTCGGAATTTTTTTAGAATATATATGTAGAAGCTGTGAAGGAGAGGCTTCACCTACCTCCGCCGTGGGCCGAATTATTGGTTAATGGTTGAACTAGAAATCATGTTTTAAATTTTTTGTTAAACCATTAAGCCTCAGGCCCCATTGAAAATAAATCATCAATTGGTTTTTTAAAAAAAATAAGTAGGGCCCACTGAGATGCCAGTAATTGTGCAATAGACCAACAACAAGACACTCTGTGACATGCACTTGTTGATAATGCATCCCACCAGAAAAGTGCAGTTTATGCTCGCATTTGCTGCCGGGGGCTGTAATTTTTATTGTAATTTTTAACTGCGGCCTGTTGGATACAAAATGGATTGTCAAATCAGACCAGTCGTAGACTCGTACGTAAGTTTAAATATGGAAGGCATAAATGAGTAAAACTGAAGTACGAACATCTCACGGCTATATTGCTTGGTACATTTTAGTGATGCCTGGAACTGGTGTCCCGCGAACATGGCTGTGCGAGGATTTTACCGTGCTGGCGGCACTCAAGATCTTGGCTATATTGAGGAAGGAGTGTGCTGCAAGCCTGATGATGCTGCTCAATTAGGCGACTGTTATTATGAAGACATAACCCTAACGTTTGACAACCCACATTCAACAGTGCGCTGCCAGAAACAATTTTATTATATTCACGGGATAAGAACATCTGCTTGCCAAGAGATAACATGCATTGAAGAGCTCCAATGCTGCAGATTCTTATAGTCATACAGGTATTTATATCGAAATCTACGACGTGGATGTGACATGAAAACAGCCGTTATAGTTTTAGAGACCTAATTTTAATTTTTTGTACATACGGCTCTGACTTTGTCCAATTAATTTTCATTCTGTTGTGAAACTGTGAAAATATCGGTGCCAGTAATTTCTTTACGCCCCCCTCATTGATTTGGTGAACTTAAACTCGCTAATCTATTCTCCGGAGCGAACTTGAAAATATTGCTGAGGATATATTTTTTCCAGCTAACGCTTTGACACATTTTCCATGGTAACACTAGGAAACAGCAGTGAATACCATTGCCAACGGAGCTCATGGTAAAATCATGGTAATGTGGGTTTCAAGTCCAGTTCTGTCGCGTGGGGTGGGGGCGAGGGCCAGAACTGGACGAGGATGTTTCCAATGCGAGATCATTTTAAATTATCGGGAACCGCATACTCAGAATCAATATTCCCGCAACGTAAATCACTTTCAAAATGTTTCCATAAAAACACTGGGTGTTCAGGTTCGTGAGCTGGATCGGACCGCAATCCCCTCTCCCTAACACATCCTTTCAGTGGCTTAACGCCCTTAACCAGCCTCTATTATACAAAGCCTTAGCCTTCTAACCGCGGCTTTCAGTTTTAGTAGCATGTTGAAAAGCAATAGCGTTTTATTTGCTATATTCACTACCGGTGCTAGTATTCTATTACTAGTATTCCTGTAAAATGCATTAACAGTTCACACACTTTAATTGTTCTTTTTGATTGAAACAATTTTTCTGAAACCTTTTAGGTTTTCACCAGCGACAGGATCAGAAGCTGACGGTGGAACATCCGGAATTATCTATAAATAAGCAACGACAAACTGAGTGAGAAAAAACCCCACAATTTTTATACATATATGCATGAACTATTTACTCAGTTTTTTAAACTTAACCAGTTATCCTTATCCACCAACCAATCTTATTTGCAAAGAAAACATGTATACAAGTTGCTAATTGCAAATGCTATATGATTGTCATTTACAACTTGATAAAAGTATATAAATATATATATATATATATTATATATATATATATATATATATATATATATATATATATATATATATACATATATATATATATATATTTATTTATTTATATATTAGCAGCAAAAATCTATTGCCTTCACCTTGCACAAGTTAGCATAAACCATAGTTAACATTAAAATGAGCAAAGAAATATAAAGTGTATATGTTTTTAGACCATGTCATTATTGACAAGAATTTTACTAAGTTGTTAATGCATTAAATTTCCATTTTCATTCTGTTAAATAACATGTTACTAACTGTTACTAATTGCAATTAATGTAATTAAATATAATATTATAATAATTTAATTACCAAGTTTGGTTTATAATAATTGTGAACCACAGCAGCACCAGAAAGCATTGAGATCATACCAGCTGTAAGAACTTTTAAATAATTGCCCCAAGGCATTCCAGCAGGCATTCTTATAGTAATATGTATATATGCAGTAAGCTGTTACTATTTTAAAAAGATTAATGTGTTGTTTTTGTCTGCTCCTCAAATCTTCTTTCTGATTCCTTTCTTACAACAGTGTCATCTATAAAGGATGTATGTACATTTAATTAGAAAACACCAATTGATGCGAAAAGTGAGATTAAGTCATTTGAAGTGGAGCTTAGATTCTTAGAATTTCCTAACGTAACATATGAATATTGCAAAAGTTTCAAAAGTACTCAAATTTGAGAAAAATAATTTTTTTGCGCACAAATCTTTGGTAAATTTTTGCACGGCAATATTTTTCACACCTTTCAATACTTTGCAACCAGAATTTCTATTTACTAATTTTGAATTGCTCTTTCCAGCTGTACAGATAAATTTTTCCATGTAGGTCTACTGTATTGATTATTCTTATGCCTGTACCATTGTCCATTGCACTATGCCATGACTATGGGTATAACCACAGCCCATAGGTATAACTTGATTTGAACTTACAAAATGTTTCGTTGCCGACACGGACTTTGATCATAAACAACTCAATAGCAGCTCCCATTAAAAAAAACACAGGCATATACTTATATATGCCAAGACGTTGGCTCCATTTATTTAACATAACAAAATTTCCCCCAATGCTCCAACAATTTGTTTTGAGTTATGCAAACCAGGGGGGAGAGAAAATTCAACATGGCGGACAATTGGTCTGGAAGACAACCAAGAAAGAAAGAAACGGACATTCGCTACAGCCCGTATTTGTAAGTCTCACTACAAACTCTCGCTATATATTTGATTCTGTGCTTTTTGAGAAGTGCGGAGATGCCACAACACATTTTATACATATGGCAAATTGGCGAAATAAGAATTTTTTAGCAGATATACTGATATAGTCATACACTATTACACATTTAAACTTTATCATATGGTGTGGAGTAAATTCACATTGTATTTAAATACTAAAGAAAGGTCTTCTTGGGAGTGTCAATACATTGCATGCCAAATACAGTAAAACTACAAATCCTGCACAATATATTTATGGTAAATATGATTTTGTACAACAGCTGTCAACAAGGTTACAGGGGTTGGTTGTTCGAAAAGTGGATTTGCTTTTAAGTGTAAGACTTTATAACAGGAATACTTTTTCTTTCCATACAAGTTTTGAGATCGATTTTTTAGACATATTTCACAAAAGTTGGGCATCCTGAATCCAAATCCATGTCAACAATATAGATCAAAGCTGACAGCTTTTCACTGCTATGTTCCCTGGCGCAGATAATCTATTCAGTCTTTTAACTATTTGTCTTTCTACTAATCAACTTTTGTTTATTATAATAACTTGTAGGTACACCACGTAAGTATTAAATACTGCAAAGCTTTCGGTCCGTTAACCCGGACCTTCATCAGTGCAATTACTTGAATACACGTTTGCGCGTCACTTAAATATCATGTTAGTCGTGATTAGTTTGCTCGCGCTATTAATTAAACGGTTTCATTTAATTAAGTTCTAACTAATGCGCGCGCCCTAGACAAGTATTTGACTAAGAGACACCGAAAAGAGCACGCCACGTACTATTAAGTGGCTTTCCCTCTTGGACGATAGTTTGATGTTTATAAATTTCAATAGATTCTCTCATTTTACGAGAGACAGTAAACTTATCGTTTGCTAAAATGGTAGCATCGTTCCATTTAATGCGATGATCATAAGTCCATGCATGGTGAGCTACTGCAGACTTATCCAGTTTACCTTTCTCGCAGTTCGTCTTATGTTCTTTAAGACGTATTGAGAGATTTCTACCGAACCGTTTCCATTTTAGCAAACGATAAGTTTACTGTCTCTCGTAAAATGAGAGAATCTATTGAAATTTATAAACATCAAACTATCGTCCAAGAGGGAAAGCCACTTAATAGTACGTGGCGTGCTCTTTTCGGTGTCTCTTAGTCAAATACTTGTCTAGGGCGCGCGCATTAGTTAGAACTTAATTAAATGAAACCGTTTAATTAATAGCGCGAGCAAACTAATCACGACTAACATGATATTTAAGTGACGCGCAAACGTGTATTCAAGTAATTGCACTGATGAAGGTCCGGGTTAACGGACCGAAAGCTTTGCAGTATTTAATACTTACGTGGTGTACCTACAAGTTATTATAATTACTAAAGTCGCCATGCAATCATACAAGAAAATTATAACTTTTGTTTAGTTAACAAAATACTTTTTAAATGTGTTTGGGATTTTGTTCATTATAGCTCTAACTAACTGAATTATCTGTTTGACATATGACATAATTGAACAATCTCTTGGCTCTAGGCTGTAATTTGAATCTGACTGCCTTTAAGGAGACCACTATGTTAATAAATGATCGAAATATTTTGGCCGAATGGTGGTCATATTAACAGGTTCCACTGTAATAACAGTAATTATAATAACTTACTTTTGCACATGCGACTTTTATAACATGATTTTTCCAACCAACCTTGCACAATTAAAGTGCAAAAGATGGCAAGGATAGTGTTCAAAGAAAACGTAAGAGCAGTTTTGGAAATATGACAGAAGATGAAGTTATGAATCTTTTGCTTCCTGATCGTCTGGCAGAAACAATGGATGTTTTGTTTGTTAGTAAGCTTTATTGTTTCTTATATTAATATTTGACAATATTTTCTGTCATTATTTCAAATTTTGATATTTTTCTTTTATAAGGTTGGCATCAATCCAGGTCTCATGTCTGCGTATAAAGGCCATCATTACGCTGGATCAAACAATCATTTCTGTATGTTTTGTGTTATTTCAGTTCTGTTTTTTCATTTTACGTTTTGACATCTATTAATTTTGGTCCTTTGAGTCACTGTAGATTATATTCTTTTAAGCTGTTTAAGCGGTCAAATTTTTGTAAGAAAGCAGCAACAATTTCAATTTATTTCAAAGTTGTATCTTTGCATGCTTATTTAATTTCTTACACTGAACGTCTTCTTTTGCGAACGTCAGATTGCCACCTTAAACATCTCGTAACGTTCCGTGTCGTATTTTAGTTAATGTTTCGTAATCATTATTTCTATCCCAAAGAAATGCGCCTATTCGTTTGGTAAGATATAGTTGAAATGAAAAAGTACGATATTGGTGATATTTTTTATATCTTTTAACTAAAGGGCCTTGTCTGATTGATGCCGCTCTTGTACCTGAACATTTTACATTCCTGGACGACGTAAAATGTCCTGAACATGGTATAGGACTGACTAATATTGTTGCTAGGACAACACGGAGTAGCAGCGACCTATCACGGTTGGTAAGGTTTGCTAGTTTCAACCCGTCTTTAGGTCTTAAATTTCGCTTCAGTCACATGTGATACTGTTAAGGGCATTTCAATTTTCTTTCACATTTTCTTCAACAATTTGTTTTACCGTCTTTTACATTTATAATGCTATGCTAGTCATACACTTATTTATTCGTAATCGTATATCTCTTGTTTTTTTCAGTGCGGAAATTAAGGAAGGGAAGGAAAATCTTATTGAAAAAATTAAGAAATATCAACCATTGGTGACATGTTTTAATGGAAAAGGTGTTAAAAAATTATCTCGTTCATGTAATAATCATGTCATGCAGTGTAAATTTAACTATTACCTATTTAATTATACTAGGATGTATAAAGTAGATGTGTGTTAATATACCTTTGCCAAATTGAATGCCTGAATTATGGGTAAAAATCTTATATATATGTATACAATTTTTTTATGAAGGTATTTATGAAATATTTTCTGGCAACAAGAAGTGCCAACTTGGAAGACAAAATGAAACAGTCCCTGACACAAAGTCTGTAAGTTAACAGCTTTATGGCTGTCAAAATGTGATCCGAATATTGTAAATGTGTTCATGCAATGTTCATTCTTGCAACTTGCAATGCAAATCTACTCCTGAGCATCTAAAGTTGTCAAATGATACGAACATTTATTACGATCTGCTAACGTTTCCTTAGCATTCGAATCCTCTTTACAAATTAACATCCCTCAAAATTATAATTTGCATTGCAAGTTGCAAGGAAAATTGTATAATGTAACAGCGCCTTCACGCACGTTTTGAAAAGTATGGGTAATTTTAGTCATTCCCAATCATTTATCAAGTATGAACTTTTTCAATTCTTATTCCTTTGCTGGGGTAGGAGTAGGGAATAGAGTATGGAATATTTTAAAAAATATTGCATTATGATATTCTATATATACTCTTGGTAAAAATTGCATTTTGATGTGAATTTTGTACTCTAGGTAATCTACGTTATGCCATCTTCGTCGGCTGGAACAATGACGTATCCCAGGAAAAGTGACAAACTTCGTTTCTACCTCGAGCTGAAGGAATTAATAGATGAACTTAAAAGTGTTAAAATGACAGAGAAGGACTGAAATCAGTTTATCACTGTTTATAAGATGTATTCTGAAATCTACAATCTAGCTCTAATGCCTTCAAAGGGTGCATGGTGATGGTAATAATTTTAAACTTTATTTATGTGTACAGTATATATAAGCAAAGCTTTGTAAAATAGATGCGCTCAGATGATGTAAACAATAAATTGTAAGTTTAGTGCATGACATCACATAATGTATAATGATACTAATCAGTGTGATCATAATTATTCTGATCTACACATTTTTTCCCGCCCCGGGCCAATACAGGAGCTTTTGTGCGGCATTCGGCCAAAGATTGCAGGGCGAGGTCGTTATAATAGTATAATAAATGAATTACCACTCTTCAAGTAGCAAGTCCTCGCAACGTCGGAAAAAATTATGTTTTTTTATGACATAGTTGCAAAAGAGTTCAACCTTTTAAGTTTTGAAAACCTTCTTCAAAATGACGTTACGTCACTGAGTCAGGTGGCAACCAGCATAAAGAAATATTTGGTTTTTTGGTACATGCATGTGATCAATTAGAGTGTTCAACTTTGAACTTTCCTCACAAACCTCATTCCTTCAAGCAAACCTTCCTCCGATTGGTACCCGCGTATACCCGCAGCTTTTTTGCAACTCTGTTTCATGATCATGGTTTTGTCGTGTTACGATTTGCTTACAATCATAACGAATAATCCAGTATTTGTTATTCAAATGGTTTTATAGCTAAATGAAAACTGAACAATATTGGACAATGTGATAATATATTGAATGAATTATGGTTAGCCTGAAATATTTCGGTGATTTCAGCACAGGTGATACGAAATTGCAGGTGTTTGCAACAAAGTCACCACAAATAGTATAGAACAAACTCATGTAGGTCCAATACCGAGTCTCGATTTTGAGCTGACCACCACTGGATCATATGACCTTGCGCAGCGTGAAACCCATGCAAGAGTTCTACGCAAACATTTTGCATTCCTTTCATTATACTCAAGAAAAAGCCTATTAATTAATGCGCAAAAAGAGATGAATATAATTTTTAATAATTATCGCCATGAAGCGTAGTGCTAAAACACTTTTAACAAAAACTCAATGAGCATTGAAGTAGTGACATGCATGTGTTGTCAGATTCAGGCTGCTGGTTGCATGGCATTTTCCTTTTTTTAAACCGTTTGGACGTGAGGAAGGAGGACATCAGGCATTCTACTAAAGCTGAGTGTTCTTTAGTGCTCTTCGAGCAAAATTTAAATAAACAAAACAATGAATTTTTAAGCCATGCATCAGGATACGTGCTATATATAGTTGTTAAAAGGGTATTTTGTCTTAGACTTTATTATAGTATAGCCACTATCTTGCGCCGGATGCAGCTGGAGTGACATTCATCATCTTTTTTTCACTGACATATATACCTAATAACTTTAGAACGGTTCATTATTGAAAGTATACATAGACATAGTCTGCTCCTAAATTGAGCAAACAAATTAAAAGATAGAACTTGGTCTCGCAACGAGAACCCCATGAAGGCTGGAATATGAAGCTTTTATGTCCGAGGTTCAACCAATCGAAACTAAAATTGGCCCTCAGTTCAGTGTAAGAGTTGTATACCTCGTATAACACCTAGATGGAATTTTCGGGTTAGTGTTTTCTCGACATCGATCTCGTTGTCAATTTGCATTTCGCAAAACGTGTTTGTCAATAAAGGACTACGACACGCCACCTTGAAGACGCCTTTTCAATTTTTTTTAAGATATGAAGCCATATGGAATGTCATTAATACTAAATTAAATTCTTGAAACTCGCGTTTTAGTCTGATAACGTTGATCGAAATACACGATAATCCTATAATAAAGTTTATTAGAATTTTAAATTTTATTCGTGCATGTTACTACTGGTTTATGAATGACCACATTTTGTTACGCCATTTCAAATATTTTTGCAAGTTGCTGATGAATCTATAATTTTACTTCATTTCCCAAACAGACGGGTAAGTTGGACGGGAATCCCGTTTGGACGAGAAACTCGTCTTTAATAAATGAGACGAGTTTCTGAAATATCAACACGGTCAAGGACGGAACAATGCTAAGAGAAGACTAACAAAATTTTATCGTAATAATTACGACACCATTTTTAGCATCACCCGACCCATCACACGTATAAATTTATCCATTCCTATTCATATTTAGACGGGGTTTTACCATCCCCGTCTAAGATAAGTTTCCCGTCTCGAATATGAATTCGGCTATTGTTGTTAACTTGTTATCGTATACTATAGTGTGATTTTCGACACTTTAAGTTACTCCCTTGTAGGCCAAATTGGTAAATGGTGATAAACGAAAAAAGTTTTCGTTAAAATGAATTCTGGTCGTTAAATTGTATTTCGGTCCAATTGGCTATTTAATCCCGGACCAAATGCTTTTACAACCTTTACCACAACCCTCCATGATCTATGCCTAATCAAATCTTCTCTATAGCAATAAAGAAAAAGTTTGATTTGCAAACTTTATCTCAAGAAAAGATGCTTGCCTCTTATTCATTTTTTCCTATATTTAATATAGAGAAATATCTTACATTGAAGTGTCTAATATTTTATCTTTAATATTTAATGAGCGAAATATTATGTTAATTGAATTTGTTCTTGTGAACAGTTGTTGTACATTTAATTTTTGTAATTATATTTATATGCATCACGTCTACGGCAAATACATCAATCATATCAGTGATATCACATATGTCTGTGAGGCCAAGATGAATTTAACAATTTACTTCCAGCTAATATTTTTGGCTATTGTGAACATAATATTTACTCTCTTTGGAATCGTTTTGAACACATTGGTTTTAGTCAGTATTTCAAGATCATCCCAACTTCGAAGGAAACTATGCAACTTCACTATCATGCTGTTGTCATGTATCGATTTGCTCACCGTGATCACGAATCATCCAACACTTGTGGTTTATCTGGTTTTATGGCTCAATGAAGATAAATATTTATTAGCAGAAATAAAAATATATGGTCAGTTTTTAGGTATTTTTGGCGGACTTTCCATGTCCGCAATTCTGGTAATGAACATTGAACGATATTTAGGAGTATATTATCCTTTCTTTCATCGCATATCAGTGACCCGTCCCAGACTGCTAAAACTCTTCGCAATATTTACTATCCTACCAATAACATTAATGGCGATTTCTGCAAATGATTTACTTATTCCGCTCTCGGTATCCTCGATTATTTTCTTAGCCATTTACTTTCCACCGTTTATTTTTATCAACTACAAACTCTTCAGGATTTCCAGGGAAGTGCGCAGGAACAATGCAATATCACCATTAGTACTGAAAGGAACCAAAAACCTCAAAACTATTTCTGCTTGTCTACTCACAGTTGCCTGTTATATGATAATGTCTATTCCCGGTAGCCTTTACATTGCATTTACCTTTATCAAGAAGCCGCGGAACAGTGTAATGATGTCTTACTTATGGGGACATACTGTTTTCACCATGAATTCAACATTCAATAGTTTGATATTTTTCTGGAAGAATAACATTTTACGCGCAGAAGGAAAAAAAGTGCTCCTGGCGCTGAAATGCCGTCTTTTTGGTACTGAAGGCTAAATTGGCCGTGTTAAACCTAGCCGATGGGAACAAAACAAACTATAATATAAGCTCTTGATGACGCAACCTCGTACCCAGGGTCTTTTGTACGAGGTTGTTAATGACGTTGGCATCAATATTGCGCAGTTGTATCGCAATTAGGTTTACTCTATCGCATAAATGTGATAAACTCGATCGCACATCATACTCATTTCACAGCTCTTGTGCCCTCCCTACATAAATGATTAGCTTTCATGCACGCAATGTAGGAAAGAAAGTTTTTTGAGTGAAAAAAAATTGCAAAGCGGGGGAATAAAAGGAAAGTAATAATACTCTCTCGTACTGACAAGACTACCTATTGTTTCAATTATCTCAATACTTGAATCGTGCTTTTCGGCTCATGCATGGAAACTGAATATTATTTCTAGAAAAATTCGTCAATAAACAATAAACATAATGACTTTTGCAAAATGAACTGTGGGCTAATTTTATTAAATATTAATTACTGGAATGAATTCAAATTTGTTTGCATCCTTGTGCATTTGACAGATTAGTAATTTGTTTGTATTAAAATGAAGAAAAAAGGACTTCTCGTTGGTGGCGGGGTAAATGTTGGAACTAATCGAACTATATTGTTATAGTTCTTCGCATTAACACTGAATGATAACTTTTCCCCGTCGAGTTGCTATTGTAATGAGCCGAGTTTACGCAACACACAACGTGGTCTAGATCCAACTCTATGTCTCTATCCTTTACAGTATTACATTCAGTATTTATACTATCGTTCTATAGGGCCGCGGGTACAGTAGCGTAGCCAGCCTGTCGATTTGTCCCGCTATGCTAATATTTCGGTGTTCACTGACTGTGAAAACAATAAATTTCTAAAGACATGAATGATTATAATAACTCGAAATTTCCATAGCGAGGCTGAAAGTCGTCAGGCTGGCTACGCCACTGGCCGGGTATGCTTCTGTTATCTAGACTGCTATATTTATGTAATCTCGAAAACCCTTGCAATGGTGCATTATCCTGATTCGAGCTGTACTTGGGGCATGCAGCATTGACCTGTAGACAGCGACCTGCATGCGACATATGCAACTCATATATGTAAAAGTAACAGTACCTCAGCCCTCAGCCCTGACAAGGAGCTATAAACTGGGGGGGGCAACAAATACCTCCTCGCCCACGCACCTATGACTACATTTTGCTCTCCAGTCAGTCCAGTGGAGCCGAGGAGCGGCCCTGGGGACGAGTATGAGGAGCTTCCTTTCATCATCCTTTTCATCAACCTCGTGCCTTTTCATTGAAAATTTATTAGGATTTAGGCTCACCTGGTTACTCACTGATTTCTCACTGATCTGAAATGGCTGCTCCAGTGAACTGGCTACTCTGAGTCTCTCTAAAGTCTCTCATACACAAACAGACTTCCGGCCGGGTGAACATTTATTGAAAAATCGCACCCTCCGAAGCTCGACGTTCTAGCTTTTTTTAATCTAAAAAATGTCCAGAAGTGTAAAAGATTTACGAGACATGATTAATATTTCCCGATTATCATTTCATGGCGACGAATCGAGTTTTCAGAACGATGATCATGAACGAGAAGATGTTGTAAACGCATTCATTCACATCAATCATAGTGGACAAAATTCGACATTTATAAAACGAAATGAAACGACGCTAAGGTGTATAACATCGACTGAACACATTGACAAGCAAAAAAGTAGTCTAAGAAATATTCGTTTTAAACCGTTACCAGCAATAAACTCCTCAACAAACATAAATGATGGCATCAACTCGAAAGAAAATGTAGAAATGGCATACCAAAGGTCCTGTAATCGTATTCTGGAATATGTTGATGGATCTGTAGTGAGTTCTTGGTTACATCGCTCTAACGAATCTGTGCAATGGCTTTCTAAATGGGTTTCCACAAAAGAATATTTTGTTAAATTTGCAAATTTCTTTCTTGTGGAAATGGATCATCAGAAACAAACAGAACTGGTTGAAATGGAAGTTGAAGTTATTCTGGATGAAATAACATTTTCTGTACAGGATGGACTCAAGCAAAAAAAGGTGTCAAAAGATGATGTGATGTCATTCTTTTTGCTAATCATTTGGGAATATCCATCAAAAATATGTGGTGAACATAGCAGCATTTTTGTTTTGAATACATTAGTAACTTTGGCCTCAGCACAGAAGGACAAGTACCGCAAGCTTCTTTCAAATGTGAAATTTGCAACAAAACATCCCGAGCAGATACACTGGATTCTATCAGTCCGTGCATTTGCATTAATATCTATAATTACAGCAATGGTGAAATTTTACTCATCCTTGTCAGGGTACATCATAGTAGATCAGGATGTTGATAAAAATGCAAAAGAGCTATATCAATACCCTAAAACAATCCAAGGTTTTGCATTCGATGCAGCGAGGTTGGGATATTTGGACACCCTGGTATATTTAGTTGAGCAACAAGATCTTAATATCTCAGGCTTGCAAAACAAGGATATGTTGTCTCTATTATTTTGTGCAGTCACGTGTGCCCAGGTGGAGGTAGCAAAGTATATATTGGAGGTAATATATATTGATATATAATTAAATGTACAGTGTATGTGAGTGGAATATTTCAAGTAAAATTGGTGTGGGTGGTACAATGGCTGAGGCACAACTGTACTTTACAGCAGATTTCGGTTGACTGCAAAATAACAAGCATTTGCAACTCATGTTTGGTCGTTAATTAGAATGACATGACGTTAGAATTTTGAAATGTCACATGGTTTTGGGATACATTCTTGCATGTAAACATATTCAAAATGCTTGCGGTATTTAAAATGTGGAAAGTCATACGAAAGGGCAATCTTATACACAGTTATGGGAAATTACTTTCTTTTAACGCAAGCACTTTTTTTAAAGCACTTTCTTTCAACAACATTTTAACTATGTCATTGAAGTACAAATGGAATGCTCCGCCCATTTCTTGGAAACAGTGCATGTGACATTTCAAATGTCATATATTAAACGACCCAACATGCATTGCGAACACTTTTTGTTTAGCAGTCAAACAGAATCCACTGTAGGTGAATTATGTCGATTAATAGTATAATTAAGTGGCAGCCGTATATGGGTATTATTAATCATGTATGTACACTCGGGAAATTGCAATGTATACTAAAATTTGCACTATATTTGCTACTCCATGTTACTCTGAAATCTAAATACATATTCTTGTATTCTAAATGCAGACAGATGAAAGTATTGATATAAAACAAGTATCAAAATCAGGGAATAGCTTGTTACATGCTGCAGTTAATACTGGAGACAAACAACTTGTGAGGTTACTTCTGAATGCTGGAGCAGATGTGAATCAAACCAATAGGGAATGTAATGATGTAACCCCACTTCACTTAGCTATAATGCAAGGTGAGTTAACTTTAACTTTTCAGTTGAAACAGTTCAATTTGTACTGATACATGTTTTTATAGTAATGTGTTAGCATCATTTTTGAACAATTGAAATATAATGAGTAATGAGTCTAAGTAAGAACTCATTTTGTATGATTTAAAATCTATAAATTGAGAATAATCTGGATATGTTTTTGAAATTCCCATTGGCAGTACTGCAGGTATTATAAATATAAAACTGTATATTGTTAGCAAATCGAGATCAATCTCCAATTAACCTACTCTGAGAATTTCAGGGTCAGTTTAAAATTTCATTTCATATTTGTAGACTCCTGTGAAATTGTTCAGTTACTCATTGATGCTGGGGCACACACAGCCTTGTTTTCTACAGATGGAGGTAGTACAGCACTTCGTTTAGCTGAGGATCTTCAAAGGATATCTATTGTTGACCTTATCAAAAAAGCTGTGTGCAATGATCAAAAATGACATTGGATCATGCTGCAGAATATCAGAGCAGTAAAAGTAGTAGATTACCTGTAACTATGGAACAAATCTGTATGAAAGAGGCTATAAAGGTTTAAAAATTAATAAAGAGGCATATGCGTTAGACAATACCGTACACAAATTGCCGAGATTTTTCCAAGCCTGTATTTGAATTGTTTCTTGTTCAAGGGCACATAAAATAGATCAACCTGAGAAAATATCTGCCAGATATAGCTATACCCAAATAAGGAAAGCAAAGGTGGAATATCAAAATTCGGTTGAAAGTTCGTCGAAATTGTTTCCAAATTCAAACTTATTCTAATTACATTTTTTGATAAAAATGAAACCATACTTTGATGAATTTCAAGATCGGCAAATCGGTAACAGGGAAAGGGAAAATATCTAAAAAGGATTAAAAAGTGGACTGGGAAATTTGAAGGCCGCAAAAGAACATCAATTGTCGACAAATGACGACTGCGAGGTACATACTAGGTCTGTAGCGTACGGCGGCACGTGTAATAAGTTCTGTAATAAGATAAAGATTTCATCATACATACGATGGTACACTAACATTGAGTCATTGGTTAAGAGGAAAAAGAGCAGGCGAAATTAAAGATAAGATCATTATGATCATATGCTTAGGCTTAGCCCAAAGCGAGATCAATTTAGAAAATTTAGAAGCAAACCAGCTATTATTATATCAACCTGAGGAGTTTGATAAATTTGGGAATCGTACTACAGAATTAAACCTATTTTGAAGCAAGATAATTAGATAGAACAATAGATAATTATATAAAAATATTAGATAAAACACTCGATCACACTGAGAATTCTCGCTTCTCAGCTACTAACCGGCGGAAATTCAAAAGCTACTAGCTGAGAACAATGAGCTGCGAGATAAGAATACAATAATGAGTTGTGCTGTCTGATCAAATGAATAAAAGCCGAAATGAAAAAAGCCTTATATATAATTATTACTACGCGGTCTGCGCCTGGAACGGCACGGCCAAAATGGGTACCCGGTAGCCTGAATCAGTGAACTCTAGAGTTCACTGGCCTGAATACTAATAAAATTGGGTACGGGTAGTCGGGTACCAATTATATGGTTCCAATTTAGTCGTGCCGTGCCGATAAATCGAGTGTAGTGTAAACGGAGCTTTAGACCCCGTTTACACTAGAGCGAAAGTTTCCGGATTCATCACGAAAGCGGAATGTTTTAGTACCGGATTCATGTTGCTGTTTACACACGCAGCAACGAATCCGATAGAAAATGTACTCGGTTTTAAGCCGTATCCGGAAACTTTGAATCCGTAAAAGTTTGTGGAAACTTTGTATTCAGAAACATTTGAATCCGGAAAATTTTCTTGTGTAAACGTTTTGCGCGACGAATCCGAAGAAATTCAAACGTGACGACCAAACAATTCTCCAAGAACAAGTAATGTGAGTGTAAACGGACAAATCCGCATACAGAGACAACTAAAGTGTAGTGTAAACACTTGACGAATCCGATACATGTGTGTAACAATGAATCAATTACAAATCCGGAAACTTTCGTTCTAGTGTAAACGGGGTCTTAGTCTCTTAGAAGCTAACCTACTCACTCAGTACAAGAACATAAATATATGGAATTATTGACATGGCACAGTGGCACTATGAGACAGGAGGACCATAAGACAACATTACATTAACATAAATCGGAAAAAAACTGATCGGCAGGAACTGACATGCGCAAACAACACACAAAAGAATAAAGACTGGGGTTAATCAGGAAACTACATGACCCACATCAAACTCAGATAAGTCGCATACTACGGTTTAGTTATAATAGGCGAATCAATTATAAAGCATCTGGGGCCGATAGAACTACCCACCGGATAGTGATTTTTTCAATCGCTCGTTGTTAACTTTGATTAAATCTTAGTATACCTAAATCGAGGTTCCTTTTTTTCCCTGAAATTCTCTCTGAAATTTTGAAATTCTTTTGAAATTATTTAGCTGTTCAAATACATTGTTTTCACGAAAGTGTGCAATTCTATTAAATTCAGAAGCATTTCGACGTATTTTGAACCGAATTTTAACTGACTTCAAAAAATGGACGAAAATTAGGATTTTACCTTTGGTCCCCCATTTTGGATTTGCCTGAAATTTTCAAATTTATGAAAGTTTGATTTTATCTGTTGAAATGCATTGTTTTCATGAAAGATTGCAATTCGACTTAATTCTGAAGCATTTCGACGTATTTCCAGCCAATTTCTTTATTTTCAAAAAATGGACGAAAATTAGCATTCAGTTTCCTTTGGTCCCTCGTTAAAAATCCCCCAAAAATTAGGATTTATTCTTGGTGCCCCGTTTCGGATTTGCTTGAAATTTTGAAATTTATCAAAGTATGATTTTATATGTTCAAATGCATCGTTTTCTCGAAAGAATGCAATTCTACTTAATTCTGAAGCATTTCGACGTATTTTCAACCGAATTTTGAAATTTCATAAAAATAGACGAAAATTAGCATCCAGTTTCCTTTGGTCCTTCGTTGCCGATTTGCCTGAAATTTTGAAATTTATCAAAGTATGATTTTATGTGTTCAAATGCATTGTTTTCATGAAAGAATGTAATTCTACTTAACTCTGAAGTATTTTGATGTATTTTCAACCGAATTTTAAAATTTCAAAAAATCGACAAAAATTAAGATTTTTCCTTTGGTCCCTCGTTGCCGATTTGCATGAAATTTTGAAATTTATCAAAGTTTGATTTTATATGTTTAAATGCGTTGTTTTCATAAAAGAATGCAATTTTTCTCAACTCTAAACCATTTTGATGTATTTTGAACCGAATTTTGAAATTTAAAAATGGACAAAAATTAGGATTTTTCATTTGGTCCTTCGTTTCGGATTTGCCTAAAATTTTGAAATTAATCAAAGTATGACTTTATATGTTCAAATGCATTGTTTTCATGAAAGAATGTAATTCCACTCTGAAGTATTTTGATGTATTTTCAACTGAATTTTAAAAATTTCAAAAAATCGACGAAAATTACGATTTTTCCTTTGGTGCCTCGTTGCCGATTTGCCTGAAATTTTGAAATTTATCAAAGTATGCTTTTATGTATTCAAATGCATTGTTTTCATGAAAGAATGTAATTCTACTTAACTCAGAAGTATTTTCATGTATTTTCAACCGAATTTTGAAATTTTAAAGTATGGACAAAAATTAGGATTTTTCCTTGGTGCCCCGTTTCGGATTTGCTTGAAATTTTGAAATTTATCAAAGTATGATTTTATATGTTCAAATGCATCGTTTTCTCGAAAGAATGCAATTCTACTTAATTCTGAAGCATTTCGACGTATTTTCAACCGAATTTTGAAATTTCAAAAAATAGACGAAAATTAGCATCCAGTTTCCTTTGGTCCTTCGTTGCCGATTTGCCTGAAATTTTGAAATTTATCAAAGTATGATTTTATGTGTTCAAATGCATTGTTTTCATGAAAGAATGTAATTCTACTTAACTCTGAAGTATTTTGATGTATTTTCAACCGAATTTTAAAATTTCAAAAAATCGACAAAAATTAGGATTTTTCCTTTGGTCCCTCGTTGCCGATTGCCTGAAATTTTGAAATTTATCAAAGTTTTATTTTATATGTTCAAATGCATTGTTTTCATGAAAGAATACAATTCTACTTAATTCTGAAGCATTTCGACGTATTTCCATCCTATTTTTTTAATTTTAAAAAATGGACGAAAATTAGCCTTCAGTTTCCTTTGGTCCCTCGTTGCCGATTTGCATGAAATTTTGAAATTTATCCAAGTTTGATTTTATATATTCAAATGCGTTGTTTTCATGAAAGAATGCAATTTTTCTCAACTCTAAACCATTTTAACGTATTTTGAACCGAATTTTGAAATTTTAAAAAATGGACAAAAATTAGGATTTTTTCCTTTGGTTCCCCGTTGCCGATTTGCCTGAAATTTGGAAATTTACCAAAGTATGACTTTATGTGTTCAAATGCATTCTTTTCATGAAAGAATGCAATTCTACTTAATTCTGAAGCATTTCGACGTATTTTCAACCGAATTTTAAAATTTCAAAAAATGGACGAAAATAACGATTTTTCATTTGGTTCACGTGTTCAATGGCAAAAAGATCTTAAAAATAATGTTTCCCAAGTAATCTGTTTGGTTTTTGACCATATTTAGTTGGTTTTTGGAACGTTGAAAAAGTCGTCATTTTTTTACCAAAACGATAAGGCTTATCCCTTACCACTTTGCCAAAATTGACCACTTTTCAAAATTTTCTTAAACTGTTTAACATGAAAAAAATCGCTTCCTAAAACTAATATCTTTTATTTTATAGCTCATTTGGTTGGTTTTTGGAACAATGAAAAAGTGGTCAAAATTGGCCAAAATGGTAAAGCTTACCCCTTACCATTTTACTCAATTCTGACGACTTTTTGAACGGTTCAAAAACTGTCTTAAAATGCTGAAAATGGCTTCCTAAGACTAATATCTTCCATTTTTGAGTACGTTTGGTTGGTTTTTGGAACAATAAAAAGATGGTCAAAACTGGCCAAAATGGTAAGGCTTACTCCTTACGAGTTTGGTCAATTTTGACGACTTTTTGAATTGTCCAAAAATTGTCTTAAAATGCTAAAAATTGCTCCCTAAGACTAATATCCTTCATTTTAGATCACATTTGGTTGGTTTTTGGAACAATGAAAAAGTGGTCAAATTTGAAAAAAAAGAATAAGTCTTTCATTTTAGAGCACATTTGGTCAATTTTGACGACTTTTTGGACGGTTCAAAAATGGTCTTGAAATGCTAAAAATGGCTTCCTAAGACTAATATCTTTCATTTTAGAGAACATTTGGTTGGTTTTTGGAACGATGAAAAAGTGGTCAAAATTGGTCAAAATGGTAAAGCTTACTTACACCTTACCATTTTCCCAAAATTGACCACTTTTCAAAATTTTCTAAAACGTGTTAACATGCAAAAAATGGCTTCTTAAGATTAATATCTTTGGATTTAGAGCAATCTAATTGCCTTTTGGAACATTGAAAAAGTCGTCAATTTTGACCAAAATGGTAAGGCTTACCCCTTACCGTTTTGGTCAACTTTTACGAATTTTTGAACTGTTCAAAAACTGTTTTAAAATGCTAA